CCGGTGAAGTGAAGAAACTTGGTATCAAAGCAAAGACCAGGTTGTCAGTCTATGGAAGTACGACTTGTCGCGTGGTTTTAGTTTGTCTAAGATGCGCCATCAGCTTTCACACGTACTGGTCGTTTCCGTCCCGTTGATTCGTGCAACTGTTCACCTACCAGAGTTGTATTCGCACACGCACAGCGCACGGAGCCCTCAATACCATGGACGTCAAAATAATTATATTGAACTATCATTCTTAGAAGATTCACATAGACTTCACATTGCTGCCAATACCAATAGTTACTCAAGATACCTGCAGGAGTGTTTTTTAAGAACAAAACGAAAACACTAGACACAATCCCTTAAATAGAAAGTCATCCCAAATTGAAAACGGCATACTGTTCAACAGTCCATGTCTAAGTAAACACATCTTGCGTAAATAAGCGTGCGTGCGTGCGTGCGTGCGTGCGTGTGTGTGTGTGCGTGTCAGACGAAGACCGAAGACTAATATATGCGTATAGCGCATAGCAGTTGGCATCTGGAACAACTGCATGCAGTCAACGTGTGACCTATGTAGAAAAACGCAATATTCCAGGCAACATAAGTACGAGATCATTCCACAGCATTCCCAAATTCAGTTCAAACGTAAAAAAGCTTAAAAACAACTAAAAGCTTAGCACGATATGACACGACACTACAAATATCAAGCATTCACCGGTGGATGGGAGCATGGTAACAGAAGACCCCAGCGCACAGCGAGCGGGACCAGTACACAGCAAACGGGACCGGACCCACCACAAAAGCTGTCCAGATTAGTGTCTGCGGCACGGCAAAAACCGACCCGAACGGAAATCTACGGCTTTCGCAGTACTCTTATCAGACCACCACGCCGGTATCGTTCCAAGCGCAGCCATCTTTGAGAGCACCATTCTACGAACTACAGAGAGATGCCAAACGCTTCACAGTCAGAGTTATATACGTCAGATGCCTATCGTTTTAGTCCAAACTTTTCACGAAAACCTTTAAAAAATATTAGAACCACCTAAATATGAGTTTGCGCGAACTGTGCGACTTTTCAACATGATGATGACGATTTGGGCTTTGGGCAACACAGACTACGTTGGTCATATGGCGCCAGACTTTTGAACACACACACACCCGCACGCACGCACCTCCGCACGCACACACCCCGCACGCACGCACGCACGCACGCACACACGCACACACACACACACACATAGCTATGCATACGTCCAAGCAACATGAAAGCACAGTCCTACTGACATTGCTTAGTGCTTCACTCTTTGTTTTATATTGATGACCTACTGAGACAGCACAGAGCTCACCCTGCTGCTTAAATAAGCTCCCAAGTGGCTGGCATTTCACAGATCGAGAACGTTTTACGTAGTAAAAAGTTCTCGGCTCTATCAGTGGTATGAGGGAGAACGTATCGGCTTGCAACGTATGGATACTACACTGGTAACTCAACAACACTGCCTGCACCTATACTTCATTCCCACAGTTCGCTGGACTACATGTAACCCGTCCTCCCAGCACCCCACCACCACACCAACAGCGGATTTCCTCGCTGCAGTCTTCGTATCTACTTGAAGACAGTGAAAAAACAGTAAGAAGTCAAACCGTCATAAACACGGGAGATGAAACCACAAAAATATGAGACCCACCTGCAGCAGCAGTCGACGTATTGCTTCCAGTCCGTCAGGGCACAATCACTTCTTCGTGCTGCAACAATGCTGTTCTGCACATTGACCTCAGAAGCAAAGCCGCGAAAAATACGCATGCGCGAAGCTTCTGTGATGTAAGAAGGCTCATTTACAGAAGCCTGATAAGCACTTCGATGCTTGGCGCATCAGATACGATAAACAGCGATCTTGATGACCTACAATATATAACCTACAATATATATCCTACAGTATATACAATATTACAGCTCTCAATAGCATGGCCAACCACAAAAGCCTTGCATCTGTTACTTTTATGTCGAATATCTTTGGATCGAGCGGAATGTTTTTCGTAACCTGCCTAGGTAGCACGCCAGGTACACAATGATATTTGATGCCACTTGAGAAAATTCTGCAAGACTCGAGAACGCTGAAGTTTTCCTACAAATGGTGATATGGTACGGGTCGCAAATTCATAACTTATACGGTTGCATCGCTCATCCGAAAAGGCATGAATTTTGCCTTGCTATTTTGCAGAAGGCGCGCTAAACGATGCAAAAGTCGGGGTAGGGTGCATACATCCCATACCCCCCCCCCCCCCTTCCCGCCCCCCACGCGTACGTAAGCGTCAGAAAATTGAAATTTTGCCCGTGAGTTATCAACGAACACAGGACTAGAATAAACGGATATTCCTATCTGGTGCGTGCGCCGGACGCCATTTTCGTGACTGTTGGAACCAAAAACCACTTGAATGGAAACCGGGTAGTGACCATGAACCCCATCACCACACCACTACCAGTCTTTTACGAATCGGCTTTCCAACGTTGTCAAGTTACCCCACACTTCATCCAAAAGAGCCCTTCGAAAGACACATGAAGACATGCTTTCCAAAGGACGTGCAGGACGCAATTAGAGAGCGCATGTAGTATGAATGGCATGAAAAAACTCAGCGACGACAGTGAACCGCAACGGCACTCGTGAGTCGCTCAACAAACTGACGAGCTCAAACACGATCAATGACGCACACAACATTGGCCGTCACACAGGCACACAGTACGCTGGCCGACGCGTTCACAATGCGGCCAGATCTGATCGGTCCGCCGGTCCTTTAAATGCATTACGCTTCTCGCAGGACCAGCTAGAGCCGGAACAACGGTACCCGAACGTCTGCCGCTGCCGTGAGACCTTTTGGCAGACGTCCTCAGGCGGCCGCTCAGAAATCCATGTGCCATGTGCCTCAGAACTGTGTGCCATGTGCCTGTGTGACTTCCGCTTCGCTCAGACATGCCCGCAGACCGCATCCGCCGAACAGCCGCATGTCCGCGACCACTGGCACACATTTGGATGTGGTCGCGGTGTGAGCAATTATCACCAGGGAACACTTCAATGTCCCAAGGGGAAGGATTGAGCATAAGGCGGCGATGTAACGCTGGTGTTTACCGAGCGGTCGATTTCCACCAAGCAGTTTCGAATCTACCGTGATGGCGGCGCTTCACGGCGGGCTGCAGCAAAGCCCTCCCGTAAGTCCAAACTGAAACAAGTTGCCTTTTTGGGGTACAGTTCTCGGCGCCCCTTCGACCACTGCAGACACTGTTCACACCAGTGAACAGCAGAGAGCTTATTCGCCGTGAAATCCGCCGCGCGACCGGATGATCACGGGCCAGACCAAGTGATCCGGCCAAAGACCACTGACCACGTGCCATCGATTTGCTTACGACGCATTAATCATACCTATGCCAGGATGGTAACTGGTCGGTGCACTGCGGGATATGTAAAACTGATAATGTTCGGGCTTTTGTGCTTGTTCGAAATGTGTGCACATTCGCAGCTAAAGCAATGGAGTGAAAGGCATCGAGCCCACCAAAAATTGGGAATGCTATGCATAGAAAGCCGGGGCATCTTACGACCTATGTCGTGTCCTTGTTTTTGCCAGTTGTTCGTTCTTTGCACTCAACTGTTTATGGAGCATGTAGATCATACGACGACCAATACGGAAGGTTGATTCGATGCATCAGTATCAAAGCAAGACTTTGAACCAAGACATTAGGGTGTCGCGAACCGACGAACAGGAGCAAAAGGAGCAACATAAGACCGAGTCACAAAAAGTATGCACATTTTCGTCACTGCATTTGCTAGGGCTGCACACTCACTTTAACCAATGCGCAATCAGAGCTGGTAGATCCCAATATTTCCTTCAGTGTGACAGCAAATGTAAAATGCGAGAGTTCGACACAGTTTTTACGGGTCCAAAACTTTAAGCGTCGTCGGCGCACGACATTTCGCCGCCTCCGACGGCCCGGGGATAGCCCGCTGACGATTCCACGCGTGACGTCACGTGCCAAAACATTCGAAGTACAACATGGGGCAGTCGTAACCCGCACGTGATGCACTCGCTTGACGTTTTCTTAGGTGATTTTACGCGACTTATAAGGGTTGATATGTCGGGTAGGGCCAAAAGAGATCAAGACACGCTTCTGCCGTCACCACAAACTTCGTTTCAATCGCATACTAGCAGTAACTGTCACATTCAAACGGCATTTACAACGCCAGTGATGCATCTCAATTACCCTGGCCCAAAATCTACCAGGTGTGGGGCTAATTTGGGCATTTTAAGATCCAGCAAAATGTGACCATTTCCTACGACCTTAGCAAAGGTAACGAGCATCGAATGACGTTGATATAAAATTGGTACACAGCTTAACTTATTCAAAATACATAAGCATCACTTGTCCCCGGTCATTTTCTTTCTTTCCACTCAATTTGAGTGTGGGAACGCAACAGGGCCAGCAGTGACTATGATTAATGCTGGTAGGTAGCAGTCATTGCAAAACACAAAAGTGGAAATGTTGGGACAACGTGATTTCTTGGACAGTTTTTGGACCAACAGCTGGTCCGTCCTTGGACTATAGGTTGAAATTTGGACACGAATCCCGCAAAAGCAATCTCTGATCAGAATGGGACGCGGAGCGGACCACGAAGTTTGCAAACAAGGCCAGGTCAGTGGCCTGACTTGGTTTCAGCGTCTGCATTGTCAGATTGTGTATGAAACTTTGAATCTCCCCCCGCCCAAATTTAACCGTGGTGCATTGAACGGATTCCGAAGTACATTTTGAAACTAGCGGGATTGAATCCCTGTGTCACGCGAGAGTTAGAGTTCGAGTTTGATAGACTGACTTGTGCAATGAACGGGATCAATGCACCACTTTTAATCTCATTTCACGAGACTGAAAATGACTGACTGTGCCTTCACGTTGGACTCGGCAAATGCCACGGATTGGGTTTTTCGCCCGGTCTGCTGGCATGTCTGAGCGAATAAAGGCGCACACAGAAGCCTACCTTGCGAACCGCCGTCCTCGCTGCAGCGTTGTGACGGTCCTGCCACTCCGCCCGCTGAAACAGAAGCCACCGGGTCAGCGCCCACCAGAGTGGTCAAAGGTGCATCTAGTCGTGATGTTGTGTAAACCGTGAACGCAGCATAGATGATACCAAGGCGGACAAATGCTGTCAACGTATCTGCGACACTCTCGTATGAGGACCATGTTTTCGGATTTTTGCACCAGCAAACGCTGCGATTATCGTGGCTAACTATTAACTTCTCGATGTCCATGATCTGGGATGCTTCATGATGATACAATTCACCAAAAAATACGTAAACTAGCTTCCTCTTCAAATTCCTTAAGTTCCTACTCCTGTCAACTAGCGTCCTGTTTCTTCCCACCAATAACCCCCACAGCTGCAAAAATATTGTGCGCCTATCGAACCCACCAGCTACAGCATATCCTCACACAAAGCGGTTGCAGACTTCAGCAGTGCCCCGCCGCCCCTCCCCGGCGACCGACCACCCGGCCGCGCCAGCCGACGGAGGCCGGGTGGGTCGGACGCGCCGCTCACCGCTGCCGCCGAGCCGTTCGGCGCTGAGCAGGAGGGCGTCGCTCGACTGGTCGGAGCCGGCCTCGAAGCCCTCGAAGTCGGCCACGCGGCCGAGCGCGGCCTCCAGCGCCGCGCCCTCCGCCGTCGCCGCCTCCTCCGCGTCGCCGTCGTCGTCCAGCGTCAGGTCCACCTTCTCCACCTTGATCGGCTCCTGGCCGGCGGTCGTCCGCGGTCAGCGCGACGGCGCTGTCGTCAGCGGCCGCCCCACAGGTGTTTCGCACTGGACGTGGCCATCATTGCGGCTTTACGACGCATTCAGCAGCTCAGGCTACAATGTGTCGCCTGCCCCTCACCATGCCACGGAGGGAGGCCATCGCGGGGAATGGGACCCCGTGCCTCTGATTTTCCAGGCGCGCGATTTAGCCGCAGCGCCACTGGCATCCCTCTCAGTATTGGACACTAGGGACAGGCTTTTTCCTCGGTGGAAGCGGGTCGTGCGTCAGCGTCCTCCAAAACATCAGTCGCACCTGTACCGGGACGCCGAGACACCCTCCGCTCATCCTTTACGCTCGCACTTTGTTCCCATCCTACCTCGATATTCGCCCGTATCGACATCACCACCGCTGATGCCGACAGCCACACAGAAAGCAACGCACGCTGCCACGAACACAGCCGCATGATCCCCAGCACCGATACCTGAAGGGGCACCTGAGTTGGCTCGGGCGGCGGCGGAGGCGGCGGCGGCGGCGCCGGAGACGCGGCGCGCGGCGGGTCCGTCTCGGCGCGGCGCTTGTGGCGCGGCTCGCCGGCGGCCGGCGAGTCGGCGCGGCGTCGACTCGCCGGACCGGGCGGCTCGGGCCAGCGGGCGCGTCGGCCCGGCGCCGGCCGCTCGGCCCAGTCGGCGCTGGCCGGCGGCCACTGCGGGGGCTCTGGCGGCGGCGACGGCTGCTCGGGCGCCTCCGGCTGCGGCGCGACGCCGACGTCAGGACCCGTCGGAACGCTCGGGACGCGCCCCACCGTCCCTGGTTACGCCAGTGTCACGAAATCCCAATAGCAGACAGGGCATTTACTGATGCAGCGTTGTAGGCAACTGATAACCCCTGAACCCATACAGGTGACCTGCAAGGAACGGAAAACACTGGACTCAAAGGGCTATGATAGGCATCGATGATAACGTTTTAACTCCAGCCCCGAACCCAATAGGCACTACGGGTGGCACAGGCACGTGAGCATAGCACGCATGGGGTGGAGGCGTCACATGCCCAACAACGCGATGTGGCTGGGACGTGACGTCATTAAATCCTGTGCACAGCGCGGTTCTGCAGGGACACAGATGCATGGTTTCACAGGGACACAGATGCGTGGTTCCACAGGGACACAGATACGTGGTTCCACAGGGACACAGATGCATGGTTCTACAGGGACACAGATGCATGGTTCTGCAGGGACACAGACGCATGGTTCTACAGGGACACAGATGCAAGGTTCTACAGGGACACAGATGCATGGTTCTACAGGGACACAGACGCATGGTTCCACAGGGACACAGATGCATGGTTCTACAGGGACACAGATGCATGGTTCTACAGGGAACGCCTCAGAAGTTTGCACGACTATGTTACGTCCACTGAGGGGCTGCGACTGCCAGAGCCGAGCCAGCAATAACAACGGGTATAAACCGGAGGACCCCACCGAGGACACCTAGGTTCCGTTCAAGGTTTCGAGCCAGCACTCTGTTTCAGCAGCGGCGGTGCAAGTTCTGCGGCAGCTCAGAATAGGAGCCGCGATTCAACACCAGACTCCCGTGGCGTCTGCTGCGCCGTATTTTGCCCACCTTGTCGTCGTTCCCACTGAGGCCCTGGACCTGCAGCATCTCGGCCGTCTTGATGAAGCTGGCCAGCTGGCTCTGGGCCACGTTGACGCTGCCCTTGTACATGAACTCGATGATGGCCCGCAGGTCGGCGGCCGACGTGTCCTTCAGGAAGATCACCATCTGCTGACATGGGTTGTCCTGAAAAAGAACACATGAGTGCAGGGCTTGCATGTTATGATAACACTGCCAGGCCTGGCCACTTCGGTCTGATATCTTAGGATATACAAAAAAGTTGGTCTAAAAATTGGTCCAATTCAGCATACCGTCATCCACAACGCAACAACAAATACCTCTGTACAAGACCGTGGCGTTGTTGCTGTTGAAAAACGCTCGGATAACATGGTTGCAGCATTTCAAACTCCCATAACCTATCTGAAGAAACATGAACCTCACCAACAGACCCGTTTTGACGGCGCATGATCACTTACGAACTGTTGCAAACCAACCCATATTTAAAAACAGCGTTGGCGTCATCTGTGAGCCAGTGCTAGCGGATTATCTCGCATGAGTCTAGACTGCGACACAGGACGGGCTCAAGATACCGCGGAACCTGTACGTCATCCCACATCCAGCCCACGGCCTGATCAGAGGAAACTAGCATGGCTCTGCAATATGTGAGGGGTTAACCTCGTCAAACCATCTAAGCCTCACCCTTCTCAACAGTATGAGGGCGTTTATCCGACTCTGCTTGACAATTTCACACGCGATTTCACATTTCACAATTTCACACACTTGACAATTTCACATTGCGTCCGAGGCGCAACTTCAACAGCCTAGTGGTGGCGTGCTAAGAGATCTCCCACTTTCAATCAGATGGTCTTGCGGCGCATGTCATGGCTCACGCATCAAAGTGGTCACATGACGTCGCGCGTCTGGCTAAGACAGGTCAAATAGGGTACCCAGTACGCTGAATGTCCAATTTAACTAGCCGTTGGTTGCCATGACGTCCGGAATTTTCGAAACGTAACCTAGCAACCCGATAGCAATTTTATTTTACTTATGTGCACTGCACCTTTCATTGTGTTAGGAAGTTGACCGGCGTTGTGCAATTCCACCATACGGTACGCGTGAGCGTTACATAATTATCTGAAGCATGATGAGCTATTCACGGTGACAATCCTTCTACTTGACGTGGCCTACGTAACTGGATAATTCCAGGTCAAAATAATTTACCCTGAATGACACTATGCGCGCTATGACTGCTGCCTCAGTCAGCACCCATAGGCCTTTTGCATATGCAACACCAACAGAATCTGGCCTACCTGCTACAACTTGGTGGCACTTAAATACCAATCGGAGCTCCCTTGTCGTAATGTCGGTCCCGGTTACAAAAAGCGGAGCAGCTACCTCAGATGACGTCCACAGAACAAAGCTAATACAAGTTAAACGATCGGCCCATTGCTTCCAATGTGCAATATGGGACGTGCTGTAATCACCATATGACTTGCCAGCCAAACTAAACATGCTGACAGGGAATTAGCGAAAAATACATCTAACAAGATTGGTGATTGCAAAACGCATTTTGACACTTTTGGTTAACCTGGTTGTTGTATTGCAAACTAACCACAAAACTAATTTATAAGTACATTAATAGTGCTCTATAATCCGCTTTGTCAGACAGACAGTCAAGCACTTATCCAAAGAGAGTGGTCCATATTTGTGTGGGGTTTTGACCTGAAAAAGCCATCTTGAAGACTTTTCAGTACTGTTCACATCCAGCCCTTTTAAAACCTAAGACCCTCTAGCTTCTGAGCTACACGCCCACCGAAATGGGGAAAGGTATATTGGGGAGTGTTTCAGAGTCACCTTGGCATTCATGGCGTCCAAAAAACGACATTAAAATCCTGCCATTCCATAAGTTATGCGGCGATCAAGGCCAACAAAAATATAATTGTTGGGGCGTTCAAATCTGGCGTTGGTGAGCACTTCCAGATAAAACGGCCATTCATTGGCTCTCAATCAAGGTTGTGCAAGGGGCGATAACGTAATCAAACCATGACGTATTGAGGAGCATACTTAATAAATAGAGAACTTGTGCTGCCTATAGCAGTCTTTTCAACTTAGAAGTACATCAATATCTAAAGTGAGCATATTTCATCATATATGATTCCTGCTTTGATACATTCAAATGTGAAACATTCCCCTCAATGTGATGAAAAGTATCTGCAAATCAACACCAAATTAACAACGCCGGTCAAATCGGCGTGACTGAAAACGCCCCTACACCATACATTATGAATCGGTGTTCAGCTTTGTGTACCTTGAGCAGCTCCCTGAAGTATGGGCTGCAGGCAGACAGCATCATCCGGTGCGCGCGCACCCGCTGACCCTCGCAGCAGAGCGTGATGTCCACCAGCTCGCCATCCAGCCTCAGCTGATCAAACAGTGACGTCACACTGCCCTGGAAGCCATCCCACTTCAGGCAGAACTTCTGGCCGTCCATCATCTGAAAGCGAGCAGGACAACCCCCCGCGGTTTAGTGCGATATGAGGTACGGATCGCCCAGTCAGTCCACCACGCCAAGCATACCGGAGGTTTGCACGTGGCAGGCGCCGCGTCACGGTCGACACGTGGCTCGTGTTCCTGGGGCACGGGGGGCACGATAAACTCGACGCCCGCGTTGTGAAGCGTCAACAGTTTGGGCAGCTGCCTATCCCGAAAAAGGACCCAACATTTCTGCGATCTGTCCAACTTAACTAAGGCGTTGGTCGGCGGTGAGGCAGTCTGGACGAACAAATGTGACAACGATTCGCTGCTGGGATAAGAGGAACATAACTGTACCAGCAGCTGATACACCAAAGTAGCAACAGCAGCGCAGGATGGCGTGTCGGCGTTTGCATTGCGAGGAACATGGGGGTACCAGCAGTGTCAGCAGGGTTTCACACATTTCAATCTGCTACCAGGCTGATGTAGAGCAAACTTCGCTCTCTGCAGCCTGGCAAATGATGTGGCTCAGGGTCAGCTCATGCCCATTGTCACCCATCAAGGACATCAAACACGATCGGCGAAGACCACGATCGATCAAATGAAGATCGATTGCGGATCGGCGAAAGATCCGCGCAGGTGGCCTGCGCTATGGTCCCAACAAGCACCTTACAGAGAACACAACCTGTTTACCCGCACAGGCAACTGTTTGATTATGCACTTTGGGCCAATGATGTTGCTAGTGCACAACATATGCCAGGTACGTGGGGGGGGGGGGGGTGGGGGGGGGTCGACACCTGCCTGCCAGCAAGCAGTTTGGGGGAGGGACTGCTCTTGCTGAATGAGCCATACTTTGAAATATGCTATCTGATACACAGGTAGGTATGTTGTGTGTCATTAATCAGGCATACAACAAAGGTTTTTGAAATTCATTATCCTAGCATCAGAATCATGCAAAACATTTATTCGCAAAATTCAGCCCAACGGATGACAAAAAGCGGAAAGGTTTTTGTGCTCAACAAACAGCTTTTCTATAGTCTGCAATGTCCCAGCTTTCAGCACTGTCCTGATCCATCAGAAAGTATATTAGAATTGCAATTGGACAGTATATTGCAACATTTACAAATATGTAGATACACACACATCTATGCAATGTCCCACTTAGAATTGAAAAAGACTATATATATATGGGAAAGGTCACCAGAAGACATATTGCCACTAAACCTTCCCGAAATGTTGCAGTCATCTGCTATCACACCTGCCACCAGCAATTTGCAAACATATCACTTCTTTGGGCCAAATGCAAAAATTATGGCTGCGCAAAGCACGTTAAAACTAACAAATTCCAAACAATGTCAGCATTGCCAGTACTCCACTTTGTTCTTCCCAAAGCCCTGTCACTATGTTATAGCTTGGAGTGCTCCTTACAGTAATACTGTGCAGAGATCTCACTTTGCACGTTACATGGCAAACCCCAGCTTTTCCAGATTAATGCAGCAAGTGGAGCAAATGCGTGGTAGAAAACAAACAACCATCACTCAGGCATAGATTCTGGAACCACCACCTCGTTATGTTCTTTATGTGGAAGTACCATGTGTGAACTACTTAGTGGCCTGCCAAAATGATGAACCATGCCTGCTAACAAACTTTTTTTTGGATATACATCCATTATGATAAGGAATCATTATGTGTTTGTTAAAAATGGCAGGAATTCATACCTTATGGAGACCCAGTAATGTTATAGCTCAGAGTATGTCACTCTGCATCAGCTGGCTGTGTTGACATCTTGGTAGTTGTTAACCATTCATACTATATGTTGCCATCAAAGCTCTAGACTACAGATACCAATGGCATTAACAGCCAGTATCTGGTATCTAAAGGCACAAAAATGCATTACTGTCTTTGCTTGCTGTTGTACAGGGTATTTTTCATGCAAAAGGTGAAGACTTGTGAACAGAATACTGGACATAAGCTGAACTCATTATATTCTGGGAACAAAATTGTCTTTAAAATACAGCTCCTCAACAATTAACAACAATTTGAGAACAAGATTATCACCTGACATCAGCAACACATGCCTGTGGGTTGGGCAGAATGTATGGCCTTCAGTGTGGAAAGACACATATTCGTAATGGAATGATAATACTGGTATGGTACATGAGACTGCTGAAAGGAAATGAACCTCACTGGTTGGTCTTGAAGCCCATCCTATCCATTCAATCATGACCAAATGAATGCATTGTCAGACTGGTATATTGATTTCCTTACATATTTATTATTTATCTTGACTATTCTATGCCTTGTATCATTATCATACAAAATTTAAGACAGGATGTCATCTATCTACATATCATTGATCATTATCATCTGAGGCTCACAGCATCACAAATATAAGACAACTACAGGTTCTCATGATAAATGCTATTATCTTTCATGCAATGTTTATTCACTCAATAATTATGCATTTTGGGAAAACTGGTACATCACATGAGACATACAGCAAGCATTATACACCATCGTCTTTCACAATATTGATGGTACAATAGAAATCCAGTAATAGTTTACTTTTTTAGCTGTGAGATATGAGCAGTATTGGACCAGCACTGATCATTACTATAATATATTTAGGACTACAGTCACATAGCTTGGCTTAGCACAGGCAACCATCTAAAGGCAAAATTATGGATTATGGCATAGGTACACTTGAAATCATGGCACCAGCCCAAGCAAGAATTTGCTGGATTAGGTCAGTATGGGTTAGTCTACATCACATTATTACACAGTTCAACAAAAACTTCTCAATAAAATTACTAAAATCTGAAGCCAATTTGTCAGTGTTTAAACTCCACCAAAAAGCAGATAGTTGTTTATTTCAAGATCAAAAGCAATGATGGTAGAGGCATGCAGCTAGGGAATAACATGAGAAACAAAGTCACCTTACACTTGTAGGTACAAATTGTGTCATATTTCACCTACAAATTCATGGCAAGGACAGCAAAGAAAATACCATGCAACTTTTTGTACTGCACAAAGTAGCTGCTGTATATAAAGAAAGTGAAAACTCAGCAAAATATGTTCAGATTATCAGTGTCCCATGTGCTTCTTTGAGAAGTAAAAACAAGTCAAATTTTGACAGTCTTTTAAGAACTGCGAGGCATATCCAGGAGCAAAGCAATGCGTTTCAGAATTCTGCATGTTCAATTTTATGCCTTCAGCATGCAACAGTCAACACGGTACATCATAGGTCATGGGCTTTCTTTACCGTTATTAAACAAGGTGACCGTCTCACAGAACGGTGCCGGTCTTTTCACGCTGTCCACGGCCCTCCTCACGATTCTCCCTGATACGCCTTCTGCCCGTTAGTGTTCTCCGAGCCTTATTCTTCTGTTTTTATTGTTTATATTACGGCTCGCGCACAGCGTCACCGTCCCGCAGATTGTCTTACGAAGGCAAGTGTGCGCCGGATTCGGATCAGATCAGGTTTTTTTGCATTTAAAACCCTTCGATTCGTTTTTCGAAGAAATTCAAATTTCTCAAAAGATCGAAAGGTTGAGTCACTTAAAAGTTGGCAACCCTTACACCAAACTGCTGTGGTATCCTAATGCACGATGCGAGCTCGCACTTGGCATCATAGGAGTACTTCGTTGGCTGGCGCTTGTTCGCTGCGCCGCTGCGCGAGCCATGCACTCCACCGAGATCGCGATTTTTCAGTGTTTTTGCATTGATTGGACAACCAATGACAGCTTCAGAATGGCGACGACTGTGGCTATGGGCATGGCCTGCTCGGTAGCGGACGTCGCGAGCGGTGGCTGGGCGGCGGTGCGCGCCGTCTCCCCGCCGCGGAACGTGGCCGCGCTGCCAGACACGCGGCGCCGCCCGGGAGGCGTCGGCTGCCTCAACGACTTCCGCCTCCTGTCCACCGTGCTAGTGACGGTGATGTACACTGCTGGTCGTAAGCTTCATCTGCCGGTGACGGAGCCGGCGGTGGGTACCCGCGTGCTGTGGCCCGTGGTGCCTGGGTTCATCACGCTCGCGATGTTGTCGGTCGACACGTCCCTCTCCATTAGCGGCGTACTGCACGCGTGCTGGCGGCGGCGGCCGGCGACCGACGACGGGCCGCGCGCGGTGCTGGCGGCGCACGGGTTCCGCTTCCCGCGCCTGACGCCCGCCCACGTCCCCGTCACTGCCGTGGTCGCCACGCCGCCGCGTTTGGCCGGCTCGGCACTGTTCTACGGCGGTCGTGCGGCGAACGTGATGTGCAGTGACTGCCGCCAGACGTGGTGGCAACGCCCGCTGTATGTCGACAACCTCCTACGAGCGACGCCGACGGCGCCGCTCGTAGGAGGTTGTCTCGGTCGCACCTGGTCCCTGGGGCTTGACTTCCAGCTGTTGCTGCTCGGCCCGCCGTTGCTGGTCGTTTTCCAGCACAGTCGTCGCACCGGCGCCGCCTGCCTGGCGCTGGCCGACGGCGCGTCTGTGCTCGTGCCGGCGGCCATCACTTTTGCCAGGCGCCTGCCGCCCACCTACCTGGTGCCGGGCGAGCGGCCAGCGGACGCGGCCACGCGGGACGACTTCCCCTACCTTGTGTACAACGCGCCGTGGTCGTGCGCCGCGCCCTGCCTAGCCGGCCTGGGCGCCGGCCTGCTGCTGGGCCGGCCGGGGGCCGTCGGCCGCGCCTGCCGGCCGCCTGCGCCTGCGTGGCGCTGCAGGTCGGCTTGGTCAGCCTGGATCGCCTCGACTCGCAGCCGGACGCCGCCGCCTAGAGTGCGACGGATGCGCGAGCCGGCCTACCCCGCGCCGCCTGGATGCTCCTCTGCCACGGTGTTGTCGCTGAGCCGCCTCCGCTACGCGGCGCACCTCGTCTCCATGCCCGTGCAACAGTGGTGAGTGTGGGGAGTGACGAGCCCGTGCTGCTCAACACGGCCGAAGCGCTGGTTTGGGGCGCCTAGCACCTGGACATCAACTTGGCCCTGGCCTTGCTGTTCACGCTGTTGGCCGAGATGCGGCAACGGCAACGATTGTCCGCCTGCTGGCGTGAATGTTGGTCCAGGGTTCGGCGGGTCGCGCCGCCAGGGTGCGCGCTTGGGAGAACACGGAAGGACACGAGAAGAGCACGGAACGAAGGAACACATAAGGACACGAGGAAAACACGGAACGAAAGAACACATAAAGACACCAGGAGGACACGGGACGAGACCCAGCCGGGGGTCTGCGTCGCGAACACCAAAACGAAATTCGAGAGCAGAGCAGAGCAGAGCGTCGGAGGTTGGGCCGGGAGTGTCATGAGGTCAGAACAGTGGTTGGGACAGACGAGGGAGCGTCAGGAGGTCGAGCCGGCAGTTGGGACAGACCAGGGAGTGTCATGAGGTCGGAAGAGCAGTTGGGACAGACGGGGGAACGTCAGGAGGTCGGGACAGCAGTTGGGACAGACGAGGGGGTGTCAGGAGGTCGGAACAGCAGTTGGGACAGACGAGGGGGTGTCCGGAGGTTGGACCGGCAGTTGGGACGGACAGTGTTATTCAGTCGAGCCGACGCGATGGAGCACATCCGTCGCACAAGAAAACACCTTCGAGCGTGATTGGAAAGCTTCTTTTGTTGTGAAACATAAAAAACATACAGGGGTGGAACTTAATATCTCCTGGGGGATGGTGGGGGGAGGGACATGGCCCCCAAGGTTAAACTGGATCCCCCCAACGTTGGACTGGGTTTCTGGAATATCAGACTGAGCTTCCACAATGTTGAACTTAGCCCCCATACCCTCTCATTTCTTTACAAAATGGATAATTCAAAATGTTGTAAAAAAATCGCAGCATAGATATACGTTTCAAATCATTTTCACATTGGAACATGTCCAGACGCCATGAAAAAATCGAATTACCGAACTATTGTTCAAAAGGCTGCTGTACTGTGCTGTTGAAATGAGACAAGAACGCCGCATTTTAGACAGCTGTGAATGAATGCCAAATTTAAAAGCGTCTTTGAAATCGGCCTTGTGCTGATTAGGTCTCTGATCAAGCCATGGATGCCCACAAACACAGTGCAAGCGACAAAAACGTTCCACAATTTTTGTTGGGCATGTCACTAGGGGCGAGTTCAAGATTTCATCAAAGGAGGTGTCGCGTTTCACTGCGGTACTCCCCCCCCCCCGGACCCAGGTGCCCTCTCAAAACTCCCCCTATTTCTGCCACATCTAGAGAGCAAGAATACTGATGGCCGCAGTTTCTATCAAACCGAGCGGCGGGCTGGCGGGCGCTTGGGGCGCGGGAGCAAGCGTGAAATGTTGCTTCCGAAAAGTGAGACACAAGCCCGGACTATCTCCTAAATGTACGAGTCGACGTTCTCAAGCGTTTAAAGGAACTCCTTTCAAAAATGTTAACGTTTTTGTTCGCTCGCTGGCCACTGTCTGGTGTAAGCCGCGGGCCGACATCACGTGGCCTGCGGAGACTGTAATGCCGGACGCCGGGGTTTTTCTTTCATTTTCTTTGAAGATTTGCGAGCGCGTATTGTCAAAACCATTTTGCCATCTACTCGATAACGTGGATTGACGATGCCGATACAAATTCATGACTCCATTTTGTTCTAAGATTTACATTCACTATGCTCTACGTTCACAAATCTCTGTACCTATAACCCAGAAAATTCCAGCACATCATCTGAATGTCATCAGCTCAGGAAAAATGCACTCAATCATTGTAAGATGAATACTGAGGACGGTTTATTCTATGCAATCTTTTGAGCCTGTTACCTTTAATTTATTTATTTTAAAATGAAAATATCTTCATTTCCGCTGGTTGCATCTGGCTCTCGTTTCAGTTAAAGATAATTATTAAAGCATAACGAAGAAAATCGTGCCCGTCGAAATCAAGTGAGCCATATCCGGTGTTTTGTTTCGACGGGGCACTTCGTCATCCCTGTGTCTCTTTCCCACCCGACCAAGACTGGCTGAGCCCCGTGTGTGCGTGTGGGGGGGGGGGATCATTGAGCATCGAGCACGCGTGCATGAGTATAATCAAATCGTCGCTGAAGTGCCAGTTTGAAGGGAATGTTCGACATTGGAAGATACCGAAACATGCATCAGGTTTGATGAAATAAGGGCACTTATAACTATTGGTATAGCTTTAAGTGGATAAGACTGCTTTAGATAGCACATTTTTCTGCTTTGTGAATATGCTCCCGTATACGCCATTGTTAGATGACGTCATCTTACCGTGCACAGCATTGATTAAGACCCAATTGATGGCCGTTATATTTGGAAATTGTGCTCACAAGCGCCAGATATGAGCAACACGGCAATTATATTTTGCTTAGTCTCGATCGCTGCATGACCTATGGAATGGCAAGATTTGCTTGACGTTATTATGACGTACAGATGCTTGGATGACCTTGAAAGTCTCCCGAATTAGTCTCCACATCTTCATTGGCGTGTAGCTCAGAAACTAGAGGGGTTTAGATCTTAACCTGCATCAGGCTGGGGGTCTCAGACAACTGCGGTCGGCCGGGGAGGGGGGGGGGAGAGAAAGATTACTTCCCCCTGAGATCACGAGCTTCCGAACGCCTCACGAGGACAGCAAAGATGCCGTTTTGAAGGTCCCGTCAAATAATTAAGACTATGCAGCCAATTTTTAACCTTAGGTCAAATATCAGGTCTCTAGAAGTCACGAAAGAACAAAAACGATCGTTCCGAATGACGTAGTGCGGGGTCAGGGCCCGAGAGAGGCAACCGTGTATAAGGTCCCTGCGTGACCAGCGAGGTCAGGTAAGGCTGAGCGTTACGCTCGAGCGTGCGCCTCGAGCCCAGGTGCGGCTCGAGCTGCCACCGGCGCTGCCGTAACGCGTCTCAAAACAGCATTGCTTGCGTTCAAGATCGCTTTTGAGTGGCCACCTGAGGCGGAGGCGCGTTACGCAACTGCGCAACGTGTGACGCAAGATTACGCCGATCACCACCAGCCGTCGCCGCATACGTACTACGCAATCAGCACCAGCGCGGATCCGTCGCCACTGACTGCTGGCTTCCGGGTAGCTGGGGGGCTCCGCCTGATCCCATACAAGAGAGGCTCGGTGATTGTCCACTCATATTCTGCACGAAAAAATACACCAGATGCTCACCATACAAAGCCACCACAAGTGGACTGAACCAGTGCAGAACATGGATTAAAATCGCGAGAACATGGCGGCTCCGTTGTGTCTTAAACAACTGCTCAGCGGCACTCCCGTGGCCGGGCGCGACGCCTGCGGGTTCTCAACGCGTATGACATGTCCGGCACGTAGGGCCTGCGGGTTCTCAACGTGTATGACATGTCCGGCACGTAGGGCCTGCGGGTTCTCAACGCGTATGACATGTTCGGCACGTAGGGCCTGCGGGTTCTCAACGTGTATGACATGTCCGGCACGTGGGGCCTGCGGGTTCTCAACGCTTATGACATGTCCGGCACGTAGGGCCTGCGGGTTCTCAACGCGTATGACATGTTCGGCACGTAGGCACACAGTCGCCGCGCCAACGCGAGCGGCGCGGCACACGAGTCAGGTCGGGTCGGGTCGGGTCAGGTCGGACTGCGTCGGGTCGGGTCCGTGCCGAGGGCGGTCCGCCGCCGCCAGGTTCGGCCAGGTCGACCGACCTTGTCCGAAAGCTGCGCCGGACGGCGGTGTCACAAGGTCCGGACTCACACAAGGTGTACCTCGTCAGGTCATCTCACTACAAGGTCACCTCACCAAAACGTCCCTGTCCACAATGTCGCCCGTCACAAGACCCGGTCTCGCCACAAGGTCCAATCCCGCCACAAGGTCACCTGGTCAAAAGGTCAGACCCCGCCAAGTAATCCGGCCCGCCACAAGGTCACCTCGCCACATGGTCCGGCCCGCCACAAGGTCCGGCCCGCCACAAGGTCCGATCCCGCCACAAGGTCCCGCCCGCCACAAGGTCCGATCGCGCCACAAGCCGTCGCGCCGGCGGTCGGCCCTGTCTTCTTTGTACTCTGGCGCCCCACGCCGGCGTCGTCACAGGTGGGTTGTCTCCTTGCCACTGTCTGCCAACAAGGACGAACAGCACACGGTTACCGGTGGGGACGGAGCCGGCTGGATGGCATAATCACACGCGTGACGTCACTGGTGCTGGCAGAATCACACGCGTGACGCCACTGGTGCTGGCAGAATCACACGCGTGACGTCACCGGTAGTCAGGTCGGCCGACATCCGTGCCGTGGTCGCTGCATGCCGGCGGCGGCGGGGCTCGAGAACGCAGGGACCTCGCGTCACTGTAGGGCGCGTCAGCTGCTACGGCCGTTCACGGACGGAAAGGATTCTGACAATGTGAAGCGTGACGTGCCGACACCAAACGACGTCCCTGACGTAGGTCCGCGGCGGCGTGCGTGGCAAGCGCTGGGAAGCATGCGTCCTGCCTGGTCTGCTCGACTACCCGCCACCGGTCACGCTCAGGCAGGGACCGCAGGCACGTCGCAACACGCACGAGGCCGAGACCAGACGGAGAATGGACCTCATGCACGCTCAGCAGGCACGCCGTCCACAGCTAGAGAGGGCGTGACACCACGGTCGAACAGTACAGCGGAGAAAGGCAACATCGCGTCGTCATCCCACTTACGCCAGCTGCGAGCGGATAGCTTCTCCAGTCCTGACGAACTCACCAGTGGTGACCGAAGGCAAGCATGGCTACCCGTCCCGCAGCCGGTCCTCCCGTCCCTGCACCCGTCCTCCCGTTCCTCTACTCTATTTCCCCGTCCCTGCACCCTATCCTCCCGTTCCTCTACTCTATTTCCCCGTCCCTGCACCCTGTCCTCCCGTTTTCGCAGCCTGTCCTCCCGTCCCTGCACCCTGTCCTCCCGTTCCTCTACTCTATTTCCCCGTCCCTGCACCCTGTCCTCCCGTTCCTCTACTCTATTTCCCCGTCCCTGCACCCTGTCCTCCCGTTTTCGCAGCCTGTGTTTCCGTCCCTGCGCCCCGTCCTCCCGTGGCCACACCCCGTCCGCCCGTCCCTACACTCCATCTGCCCGTCTCTACACCCTGTCCTCCCGTCTTCACAGCCTGTCCGCCCGTCCCTCCGGTCGGCCCGCCGCGCGGGCGACGCCACAGCTCACTCACACAGGTGCGTTCGCGGCTAACTGGGCGAGCCGGGCGAGCCGGGCGGCCGGTCGACCGTGCCGGCGGACGGCCGCCGCCAGGTCACCCGGCCGGCGGCGGGCCGCGGCGCCGCCGGGGGCCGCGGCGCTGCCGGCACAGGCGCGCCGGCGTCAGCGGCCGGCGTCGCAGCGCGAGCATGCAGCGCGGCGTCACATGCACGAGCGTCAGGCGGCGGCCGGCGCGCCACATGCCACCCCACCCGCCACCAGACGGCGCGCCACGGCCGGTCGGGCAGCGCGCGGCCGGCCGCGGCGTGTCAGAACGGACGAGAGTGGCGCAGGATCGGCTGAGGGAGGACGGGGTCGGCCGGCTCCAGTCTGGCTGCTCAGACTGCGACATGGTCAGTCTGGCTGCTCAGACTGCGACAGGGCAGGACAAGTCAAAACACGACTGGTCGAGTCACACTGTGCTGCTACATGAGTTTTCACGACGTGCCCGTCCTCTGTGGCTCTACGGCATGATCATACGTTGCGCTCATTACGCTACGGGCGACGAAACACCAGGCCGGCGGCCAGAATCGAACCCACGACCGTCCGCACACGTTCGTATGTGGCGCTCAGCCAACTGAGCTGCGGCGCCCTATCACATGGGTTCACATCACACCAACGTGGGTTGGGACAGGGCACGTCAACTCAGGACGAGATCATCTCTGGTCAAACTGGGCGCGGCTGGGTCACGCCGGGGTAGCGTGGGACAGCCAGCACAACACAGACCAGCTCTGATCAGCCCAGGTCAGGTCAGGTCAGGTCAGATCAGTTAAGGCCAGGTCAGGTCAGTTCAGGTCAGGCCAGGTCAGGTCAGGTCGGACGGTGGGATGCGGTGCGTGCTCTCACCGGGGTACTCCTCCTCGTCGTCGTCCTCGCTGTCCGAGTCCGAGCCACTGGCGTGTGGCAGCCGTGGCGTCACGTGGCCGCGCTGCCGCACCAGGCTCAGGTGCATCTGCCGGTCACGTGACGGGCCAGCCGTTCTCAAACGCACGCGGCCAGCGCTTCAACTGACGTTCACCTGATGCGCTCAAGTGACGCTCCAAGTCAAACTCACAAACTCACGTGACAGTCCAAATCAAACTCACACACTGACGTGGCAAACCGAAACGAACTCGCACACTCATGCGACACTCGAATGCCAACTCCCGCAGTCACGTGACACTTACCTTACACCGACGGACTTTATGTGCCGATGAACCACAAACTCACATTACTCAGCACACTACAGTATTTACGCACTTAAACACCACCCAATTTTTCAACAAAACGCTGTTATGCGTATGCTAGCCTTCCAGCTTGCATTGGATTCAAACTGTTTCCTCTACCACCAAGGCACGCCACAAATGCCAATCGAGGCTCAACACAGCTGCCTACCCAGGCAAGCCACAGCTGCCTATCGAGACAAACCTCAGCTGCCTATCGAGACAAACCCCAGCTGCCTATCGCGCCACGCCGCGTCGCCGCCCGCACCAAGCCAGCTGGCGGGTCAGGCCCGAACCTTGAACGAGTCGGGCAGGCGGGAGTCCTTGCAGCCCTTGTCCAGCTCGTACTTGGCCAGCGTCAGCGTGATCCGGTTACTGACGCCCGGCAAGACGTGGGCGTCGCTGCAGGAGCTGCGGAGGAGGCGGCGGCGTGCGTCAGAGCCGGGCCGTGCCGGGTGTAGGGGGCCAGGCGGGGCGAGGGCCGGGCCGTCATGGGCCAATCTTTCCTGGGCTACGAAAGGTCACCACGAAACTCTGCACTGCTGCGTGGAAGGAGCGCACTTCAGGAAAGCTTCGCACACCAGTTTCAGCACGTTCTCACGTCTGGGACTGAATAGCAAGCCGTGAGCCGGCAGCGCGCCTCGCCAGCACCGGCGTCGGTGCGACGTTCGCAGGGAGCCGGGAGGGGCGCTGGCCGCTGTGTCTCCGCCGGCGGGTGCAGCCGGCGCCGCCGCAGGCTGACCGACCTCCGACGAGGTCAGCCACGTCAGCCGATGCACGGCAAGCACGCACGAGTGGGGGCGAAGGGCCTCGGGTGGCCGTTGTGAGGGACGAGTGGAGAGGGGATGGGGGGGGGGGGGGGGTGATTCTGCATTCTCGACGCAGCCGGCCTGGTGAAAACCGTCGCGAAACGAAACAAAAAATTGCCGAAACGACCCTAGAGCGTCTTCTCCCATCGCCCGCATGTTCAGTTACCGCAGTCCGGTGTGGATAGCGAAACGCGCGGCAGGTGGTGGAGCGCGGCTTCTAACATGGGTTCAGGTCGCATCTCCGTGTGCGAGCTTCTCTACGTGAACGCAATGCTACAAATAAGACTCCTTCGGCACGCCTCTCCACAGCAAAGTAGCACTACAAGTATGACAACATTCTGGCAAGGGGGATGTCCGTAACACGCAGTTTTTTAAAATCGAAACCCATCACAGACATATCGTAGCTCAATTGAAAACTGATGACTGAATCAAACGGCAAAGTGGCACACGACTTCCAAACACCAGCAGCGTTCCCGTGGCGCGTGCAGGCCATCGCGCCACGTGACCTCAGACCCGCGCGGCGGCCACGTCACATGACCCCAGTGACCTCGCAGCGCGCGTCCACCTGGGCCCAGTTCTTCACTGACTTACGACCCAAGCTCCGCTCATTCAGGTGGCAGCCCGTGACGTCTCAGTCGCACGCCAATAAAGAATGCCTTTAGTTCCAAATATGGGCACCAGTAGAGCCGGCTCATTAGATTTGAAACTTTCTCAATTTCATAGCTTTGGAATTTTAAGAAAAACTCAAAAAATTGCACTCCAAATGGTACTTGTTCTCGAAACTGTTTACATGCACAGAAACACACTGAAAACACGCACAGAAACACTTCAAGCCCGTGGAGACATCTGGCGCGCAGGAATGGCACAGCTGCACATTATTTGAATGAGCAGTCAGTGGCTAGTTTTGTGGCTAGACATCCTTGTCGATCACACTACCCACATGAGATCGAGACCTGCCCATTGGCCGGGCATACAATACCGTCAACAATGCACCGACTGTTGATCGGTGTTGCCTTGGCAACAGCGACGGCTTACTTGTAAACAAGCACACCTCGCCTCTCGGCGGAGTAGGGAATGGGCCTGGGCCGTGACACCACGATAAAAGTATGGGCTTACCGGGCTAACCCCAGTGGGAAATGGGCTTGGGCCGTGACACCACATGAAAAGTATGGGCTTACCGGGCTTACCCCAAAGTGGGGAATGAACTTGGGCCGTGACACCACAAGAAAAATATGGGCTCACCGGGCTTACCCCAAAGTGGGGAATGGGTTTCCTTAAAGCAAGTCATAGCAATATCTGGCAACGGTCGACGCGCCGCTGGCGGTCGTGCATTTCAAGCGAACGAACAAGTCTCGATTGCATGTTTATAGTGTAATCGACAATGCTGTTTTTCCACAAAATTTGCCAATAACTGTTAAATCGCATTATACTCAACCGCACCATTCATGCGTACTGTACGTATCCGTGGGGCTGCATTAGCTGACTCCACTTGTTACCCACATTTGTAATTTTGCCCGCATTTGGAATCAAAGGCGTTCTTCACTGGCGCGTATCTGTGACGCCACAGGATGCTACCGGAGCGGGAGGAGCTTCTGCTGTCCTACCGCGAATTGCTGGGCCCAGGCGCCGCGACAGCGGCGTGTGCGGCGTCGCTGGAGCCACCTGGCGGCCGCCGCCGGAGTCCTGGCCGGCCGGTGCGAGGGCGCACTGTGAGGCAGTGGGCCGGACACGTGCGATGACGTCCCTGCACCCGCGCAAGACTCGTTGTGATGTCCCTTCACCCGCGCAAGACTCGGTGTGATGTCCCTGCACCCACGCAGAACTCGGTGTGATGTCCCTGCACCCGTGCAGGACTCGGGTGTAATGTCCCTGCACCCGTGCAAAACTCGGGTGTGATGTCCCTGCACCGGTGCAGGACTCCGTGTAATGTCCCTGCACCCGTGCAAAACTCGCTGTGATGTCCCTGCACCCGCGCAGTACTCGGGTGTGATGTCCCTGCGCAGGTAAGGCACTTTGCAATGTTGTCCCTGCATGGTGCATGTGGCCACGTCAAGTCCGTGACGTGTTGTAGAACCCATGCCACAGAAAAACGATTACGCGTGCCACACAACCATAACCCTCATAACGATTGTGACCGTGCCTCGATAGATCAACAAATCATGACCTAAAAAACAGTTTTTCCATTAAAACGGATCAGGTCAGGTCAGGTCAGATCAGGTCAAATCAGATCAGGTCAGGTCAGATCAGATCAGATCATATCAGGCCAGACCAGACCAGACCGATTAGATTGGATCGGATCAAAGCCCACGGCAGCAGCGCCTGTATTGTGTGAGCCCAGACCCCACCATACAGTCGTCCAGTCCCCGACCAGCGGCGGAGTGCGATGCCGAACATTTAACGTGCCGCAGTGCTCGGCTCAGCAGCCGCTGACGCCAGCCGCTGACAACAGCCGCTGACATCAGCCGCAGGCCATCCCAGCCAGGCGCAAGCAGTCGGCGCCGAAGCGGCCCGAACCCGCCTGACCCATCACGGGGAGGCTGGGCGGTAAGCGCTCTTACTGACTGGATTGTGCTAGTGGGGGGGGGGGGGGGGGGGGGGGGCGACGCATTGCAAGGGGTACAACGCTTTGCGACTTTGTGGTCTGTCTGCGGCGAGAAGGTTGCGAACTCAAAATGGAAGTGCAATGAATAATGTGGCGCATAATGACATACGCGTTTCGAAGGTCACCAAAAGGGAAGAACTGCCTTGTCACCACCATAGGTTGCACCGCGTTGTGATGATAAATAAAGCAGATGCGTTAACCACTACAGTACCGGCACCCAGCGAACTCATTACTGCACCGCAATAGGGAATCGTGACGGAACGGAACGTGTTCAAGGTTCTTATCTTGTATCAACGACCTTCAATATACCAGGATGTTCTGGCTAAACAACGTTGTAATGATAAGTAACGATTACACTGACGGCGCTCAATTAAATATGGTTGCTGCCACCGTCAACCTGGTGTGTGCCGTCAATGTTCTGTCGACCGTCAATCGTCTATCAGCATCACAACGTCTTTATCCAGCGCAGAAACCATTGTAGCTGACGCGCCCTACAAACCCACCAACTAAACCAGCGCCTTTAACCAGTGTCCCCTGGCACGTGGAAAGTCGTTCTCTGAACATAAAAACGTGTGACACACAATGCCGAAAACCAGGAGCTGCGGGCCTTTCTTACGTCGACAAGGGAAAATGCCAAACTCAACAGAGCATGCACGGCTGTCCTCACATTGAGCCGAGAACAGGCCGGTTGCCCTAGCCCGTCGCACGCCTCTCCAACCCAGTCCCTCCCCACCAGCGACGGCTGCACTCGTGCCAGTGTTCCGTGCCAGTGTCCCTGCATCCGTGTCGTGCTGGCAGCGTGGCTTGTGGGGCCACAGTGCAGCGGTGATAAAAGCGCGTGTCCCGGCCGACACCCCAGCGTCACTTACTGATGCCGAGACTTGAGCTGGGGACGCCTGCAAAACGGTAAATGACTGCTGAAACTCCGCGAGACCAGGCAGGCCAGCGGTGATGCCAGGCTTCAACTAGAAAAATACTGCTGAAACTCCGCGAGACCAGACAGGCCGGCGCCGTACGACAGGCGTCGGCTAGAGAATTATCGCCTAACTCCGCCAGACGGCTCGACGTGTATGTAAAGCATCGACAGGAAAAACAGGGTTGGCCCATTGTGCGGCAATGACGCGCGCATGACTTACCTGGCAACATCGTGCGCCCGACGACCGGGCCGATGGGGCAGCGGCGCGTCCGGGCTGCGACTTACCCCGTCGACAAGGTGACATGAAGGCGGCATCGGCACCAGCCGCGGCACGCCTGCAACTCATCCGCGCGCACGCACGCACACACGCACCAAACAACGGTGCGGCAGCGCCGGCGCGGCCGCGGGCTCACCTGGCGATGGGGTACGCCTGGCCGGGCCCGTTCTCGTCCTCCGGACAGCTGGAGGCCCGCGCCATTCGCTCCGTCCGCTCCGTTCGCGCCACCTCCGCCGCCGGCCCGGCCACGAAGAACGTGTTCAGCCACAGCCAGCACAGCTTCTCCTTCGGCTTCAGCTTGTTCTTGGGCTTGCAGAGCAGCTCCAGCTTGAAGTCGCCGCACAAGTGCAGGTCTCCGTTGACGGGGATGCGGAGGCACGTGTCGCCGGCCCGTCGCGCCGGCTCCACCGGCCGCGAGCTCATCAGCTTGTGCTCCTTCTGCTTGCGCGCCTCCGAGTCGAGCAGCGGCAGCGACGGCACCGGCCGCGCGTCGCCGTTGGACGCGTCCGGCGTCGGACCGCGCGTCTTCACCGAGAAGTGCACGCCTGAGGACGGCGGACACGGGTCAGCGGCTGGTGCGGCAGGGCAGAGCCGGTGACGGCAGGGCGGGCGACGGGAGGGCGGGCGACGGCAGCGCGGATGACGGCAGGGCAGGGTGGGTGACGATAGGGCAGCGCGGGTGACGGCAGGGCAGGGCGGATGGCGGTAGGGCAGCCAGAGCGGGCGACGGCAGGGCAGGGCGACGGCAGGGCAGGGTGGGTGACAGCAGGTCAAGGACAACAGACGCTTTGCCCCAACCATCCGTTGGTAAGTAGTTCAAGGATATACCATGCCAATGAAATACGCATTTAGTGATAAACATGGTCATCATCAATGATGGGTAGTCCACTGTCTTTTCAAATAAGGTTTCATGCGGTCTTGACCCAAGTTGACCCCCGAATAGTGCATTATTACTAAAGGTCGGGAAGTGCCGGCCCGTCGCGCACGGCTCGCCTCGCTGCGTCATACCTGGCGCGGCGGCGGGATCGGCCGCGCGAGGTCGCCACAGGTCCTGCCAGGTCACGGGACCGTCCCACCACATGGGCTAGCTCCGGGTCCTGTCCGGACCGGCCCGCTCCCAGTCCCGCCCCATCACACGACTGTCAGGCGGCGGCGCACGCACCGCCGCCTGCCGGCCGGCCGGCGCCACTCACTGGAGACGATGTTCTCCAGCGCCCGCTCGGGCTCCAGCGTGATGGCCTGCAGGAAGAGGTTTGTGGGCCGGTACGCCGGCCGCTCCATGCCCATCAGCCGGTGGAAGTACTCGACGTAGCGCCGCTGGCTGGGGATCGTCACGCCCTGCCGACAGAGCACCGGGCGCGTCACAGGTCACGTCACGTCACCCTCGTGCGCCGGGAAGGCCGCAGATCGCTCGCACGAGGGTGACGCTGACACAGAGGCGAGCTACCCAGCGCTGTACGGCCCCAGCCTGCGCACATGATAGATGCATCAAGAAACGGGACAAACGTATCCGCGAGAGTATCCAAACGCGGACGTGCACACGCCGGCCGGATGCACAAGATAACACGATTACCAGCAGGCTGGGTTCTTTCGGCCTGAGAAAGCTGCTGTGGGATAGAAGGCGCCGGCCGTGGCGGGGTGGCAGCAGGGCAGTGCTGGGGTGGCAGCGGGGCAGTGCTGGGGTGGCAGCAGGGCAGTGCAGGGGTGGCAGCAGGGGTGTCAGGGCTGGGGTGGCAGCAGGGCAGTGCTGGGATGGCAGCGGGGCAGTGCTGGGGTGGCAGCATGGCAGTGGCGGCGGGGCAGCGCTGGGGTGGCGGCAGGGCAAGTGCTGGGGTGGCAGCAGGGCAGCATAAGGGTGGCAGCAGGGCAGTGCTGGGGTGGCCATGGGGGTAGTACTGGGGTGGCCATGGGGGCAGTACCGGGGTGGCAATGAGGGGAGTGCTGGAGTCGCATCGGGCCGGCGTCGGCGCCGCGCCCTGCCCCGCGCACAAGCCCCTCGTGGTGGCGTGTGCGGTGGTCGGGCGGACCCCCAGCCGGCGCGGCCTCCGCACCGACTCGAGACGAGATGACGGCGGCAGCACGACCCCCAGTGGCTTGATGTCGCATGGCAACAGCATGAAGCAACGAAGGCGCATAGGACTGCAGTGATGGGCATATGGGGGTCACTTCGCAGGGGAGGGCTGCGCGCCACACGGGACCACGCGCAGTCGCCGCCCCAGGCGGCCGCGACAGCCTACCTTGCCGTCTTTGGTGCGCTGGTCGCCGTAGTAGGCGAGGACCTCGGCCGGCGTAGCGAACTGCCCGGAGTACAGCAGGTAACAGCAGATCATCACTCCAGTCCGACCCTGGCAACAGCAGGTAACAGCAGATCATCACTCCAGTCCGACCCTGGCAACAGCAGGTAACAGCAGATCATCACTCCAGTCCGACCCTGGCAACAGCAGGTAACAGCAGACTATCACTTGTCAGGTCCTGGCCAAAACCACAAATCAGCAACTAATAATCAATACGTTATCTACCCGCCCATGTAGCCGACATGGTGATCGGTTCAACAGCTGTTCTTTTTTCGAGCGGGGGCGCTGGTTGTCGAGAAAGGCGACACATTTCCCACATGCAATGTTTTTTACTAGAGTGTGGGCAACTGAGAGAAAGCGGCGTCCGTTGCACAGCCTACTCTCCACTACGGCATCGCAATGCCACTCCACATATAGCAGGGGCACATCCTTCCTGATCAGCAGGACCGGAATAATAAAAACGAAAGGAGCGCGTCCTCCCTTGCGACACACCACCGGCGCATCTTCACCAAAACCAAAACCCTGACCCGACCAGACCGCATCGACCAACCAGACCTAACAGAGCGTCCCGACCGTTTCGAATCAGCCCCCTTATCCAATCCTCCCCCCCCCCCCCCCACAAGCACCAATACTGCCACGTCACCAAAATAACGAAAGCACCACCCGCATCGAAAAAGCCGGCACCGAGACCCAGACCAGCGGCGACCCCCCCCCCCCCCTCTCTGTCCGCCGCCGCCATCGGTACCTTGCCGGCCTTGCAGTGAATGGCGACCACGTTGTCGGGGTGCGCGCACAGCCACTCGTGCACCTTGCGACAGAACGGCGCGATCTGCTCTATGCGGGGCGGCTTGTGGTCCTCGAACGGCTCCCACTCGACGCGGCCCTCGAACATGGCCGAGTCGTACTGTCGCTCTCGGCACCTGGTGGCAAGACAGGCGACGTCACGCGTGGGCTCTCTGTCCACCCGACCCTCGAACATGACCGAGTCGCACTGTCGCTCTCGGCACCTGGTGGCAAGACAGGCGACGTCACGCGTGGGCTCCCACACACGCGGCCCTCGAACATGGCCGAGTCGTACTGTCGCTCTCGGCACCTGGTGGCAAGACGGGTGACGTCACGCGTGGGCCCCCACACACGCGGCCCTCGAACATGGCCGAGTCGTACTGTCGCTCTCGGCACCTGGTGGCGAGACAGGTGACGTCACGCGTGGACTCGTGACGTCAGTCCGTCGGCCCTGCCACCGAGCACGGCCCAGTCAGATTGACACTTGCAGCGCCTGGCGGAGACAAGTGACGTCATACAAACAGGTGACATCATGCAGACACACGTGACGTCAGAGAGCCGGCACGGCAGACGAAAACAACCCAGTTGTATTCACGCTCCAGCAGTCGGCAGACAGACAGATGACACCCGCGGACGAGACCCCTCAGTCCGCTCAGTCGTGAGCTACGGCTTCCCACGCCTGCCGGCCGCCACTGACGTCACGCAAAGACATGTGACGTCACGCACCCTATGCAGTGCGCAAACACGGTCCAGTCATGAGAACGCTTCCGTCAGCTAGCGAGGACCGGTGACGTGATGTACCACATCGCCGCGGCACCGTGCCAATAATATCGTCATGACGTTTCTCACAACGCGCAATATCAACTGTTGGGGTCACTACAGCCCAGCTTCTCATCGACCTACGACACAAGCTTGGTGACGTCACAGATACGCTCCAGTAAAGAACGCCTTTAATTCTAAATACGGGCACAAAAACCAGCTCATTTAACCCAATAGAAACATCTGGCTCGCAGGAATTGCGCAACTCGAATCTGATTCGAATAAATAAGCTTTCATAATTATTGGCGTACTTTGAAATGGACAGGCTGCTCTACACAACACCATCTCTCTACTTAGTAAATATGCCCTTCAATGCGTCATTGTTTGATTGCGTCATCGTACCTTGCACAACATAGATTGAGAGCCAGTCGTCGGCCATTACATCATATATGAGGGACTCGATACTTACGTTATTCTTGGCGCTGATCGTCGTATGACTATAGGAATAGCAGGACTTCAGTGACGTTATCATGGCGCCATAGACGCATGAGCGACTTCGAAAAAGTCTACTCACAATAGTCTGCAAATCTTCGCGAGCATATAGTTCAGAAACCAAAAGGATTTAGGCCTTAAGGACAGGTTTGTGAACTGTAGCGAATGATTTTCAATATGGCTATTCAGTTCAAAGCCCCACACAAATGTGGAACACTCCCTTTAAGTTATTAAAAATATATATATGGCTAGACACCACCGTCGATCCCACGGCCCAGGTCAGGCCAGGCCTCTAATTTACCACGCAGGACCGTCAACAGCGCATCGACCGTTCCTATGCGTTGCTATGGCAACAGGGACGACTTACACGTCATACGGATTGAACGGTGACGCCAAAGGTAAGCAATGGACTTACTCCCAAGTAGGAAATGAGCTTTTTGCCCATGAAGAACGGGTCTGACGTGGGAGGTAGGAAGCGTGTTGCGAGGAACTTCGCCGACAGGTGCCATTGGCGGACAGTTGGGCCGAGGAGGGCTGGAGGGACGGCGTTCGGGTCAGTGGTGGGTACGGCAGCGTGGCACCGGTTGGGGGTGGGGGGGGGGGGGGGCGCCGCAATGGGGTCTGGGATGCGGCGAAGTAGGCGCCGTCAGGCCACACACTCCCCGCCTCGCACCGGCGTCACGTCACTGTTGCGCGTCCTGCAGCGGACGGCTGTGACCTAATGGCGCCGGTTGGAGACGGTAGCGGAGGAGCACACGCACCAGGCCCCCCCCCCCCCCGCTCGAGACGGGGTCTCCGAGCCGAGCGACAATGCCACCGGACACGTCGGCGGCACTCGGGCACGCCTCCGACTGCTGGTGCCATCACAGCCGCGGCATTCGCGGAAGAGTAACGGCGCATCATCGCTTGTTAAAGCTCACCGACGTGCTCCCTAGCGAACGCACACGCTCGCACGACGCGAACTGGTAGCCGTTCAGTTTTGCCGGCCAGAACCGGTTCGCGCGCGCGGGGCCACGCGCCGCAGACATCGCCCCACTGCCTGCGTGCGGAAGACGTCCGCCCACGTGGCGCACGCCTGCAACACGCAGTCGCCGGCCGGCATCCCGCCCGGAGAGGGGAGCCGGCGGCCACCGGTGGCCGGTGGGCGCGTGACGTCACGAATTGGAGGTGGCGTGCTTTCCGCCGTGACTCAGTTTTCGCGGACGTTTGCGCGCGGCCGCGGCGCGCCAGGAAACCGTGACATCCCGTTGCGGTTGGGGCGATAGCCGGGTCGCCACGGCAACACGGCAAGCCCAAGGCGGGCCTCGGGCTCCCTGAAGCGTTGCAAAAGACCGACGGCGTCGGACACGGACGGGATGTCCGACCGACAAGGACAGCCATGGACACGGCTTGCCAGGACACGTCCTTGTCCGGGGCGGGACGCGCGTTGCAGAGAAGTGTGACGAGTGGTCCACTGTCATCATGGGGTGATGTCAAAAGCTATGCTCATGACCAGCCAGGTGACAGGTAGCCAGGTTTGAGGCAACTAATGACCGGACAATCGATCCCAATAGGTCAAATGAATAAGTTGGAGAGACAATGGTCCTGAGAATTTCACGAGCGGGGGTCCGCTCATGTCAAATAAACGCACTAACACGGAAAAACTGCTTAAAAGCGGCAAAGTGTGGGTGTGACCAATGGTGACATACATGAATTTGCTTTGCTTTAAGGTTTGATAACTGCAGCGAAAGTATTACCAACTATCCAGGTATGTCGGGTGGACTTCGGTAGCAACAAATAAGCTTACATCGCCGTGTTATTGTCATGAACCGATCGCCTCGGTTAACGCCACAGCGTCTGACACTCGGGATCGCTTTCGAAAAGGGTGCCAATATTGGTCTATTTCCAACTGATCGCTGGCGCACGTATCGTGCGGGACAGTTCTGAGACCCTTTAACAAACTGCGGTCGGTACATTCGCCTGCGCAGTGCAGATGAGTTCACGTCTCCGTCCGCTGTGGTTAACGAGATCTGAAGCCACTTCTCCAAAACGACCAAAACGAGCGAATCTAGCGCCTCCATAGGAGAGCGCATAGCCATTCAGATACATCGTCACAGGCTTTGTCTTTGCGATTGTCCGCTTTCTCCTTCGTAAGCCTCATTTAGCCTGACATCGCTGCAACGCTGGAGCGTCAACCTCGAGATCTCGGCAAGGTTTCGAGGTTTCGACCCATGCTCTTCACGTTTTTGCAACAACGAAACTCCAACTTCGCGTGCTAATCGAGTGGAGAGGGGGGGGGGGGGGGGGGTCGCGACGTTGCAAAGTTGCAGGAAAATCCCGCCGGCCCAAACAGCTTGCATGACAATGTCCGGCGATTCACACATCATAACTTTTAAAGAAGGGCGCCTCGCGTTGCTGAGAACTGCATGACTTGAAATCAGTGGCTGGAAAGAGATTACCGTCAGGAAAGGACGAAGGCCGACCTGGGCGCCCAAGCGGGCAATAAGTTTTCAGTTCACATGCAACTCGCCCAACCCGCTCCCTACCTGGTAACAACTGGCTATCTTGCCTTGCGTGTATTCCTCTGGCTCTCTGCATGCGAAATATGATTATGGCTGCAATCAAAAGACCGCCGACGTGGTTTTGCAAGAAATATCATCGCAGCTTATACCGAGTTGTTCTGCACCGTATTCCTTTTCACGGCACGGCCTTTTCCTGTGGTAATGGAAAGCGACCGCAAAAAGTTCATTCACGTCCAGCGTGCGCTAGTTGTCCTCGCCCACCAAGGGCATGAAGAGGCAAGAGCGCAGGCGAAAATCCATTCCAACACTCTTGACAATGTGTGGAAAGATCTTCAACCGACACAGCGTGTTGTCTGAAGACCTTACGTCCCATCGGGGCGTACGAACTAACTCGGCGTTTTGTAACGTATTCCACAACGAAGTGGCACGAAACGAATCTATTCGTCACAAAATGCGGCTTGAAACGCAAAGCGCGGGCCTGAGTTTAGTCAAAAATCAATAGGCGAAACAGAGCAAACACGCTGTTGTCTTCCCCTCCCCCCCCCCCACACACACACCAGCACACCTTCCCTCTCCGGGCGTCGCTGTTCGTCACAGCCCACGCTCCACACCCACCACCACCGCACACACCGCCACCGCCACACACCACCACCACACACCGCCGCCACACACCACCGCCACACACCACACCACCGCCGCCGCGGCCGCTCACACTCACAGGTTGAAGAGCTTGTACCGTCCCGGGTGGCGTTGATTGAGGAACTCCAGCACAGTGCGGGCGTCGTTGCGGTAGAGCTTCTCGATGTCCTGCGCCGGGTAGCCCATGGCGATGATGCGCGGCGTGATGTCTGCGGCGCCGGTCAAGGAGCAGAGCGACGGCAGGGCGGGGGTGCGCGCCGGCATAGTCACGTGGCGGCGAGGCCGGGTGTCGGCCGCCGCTCTCGTAGCTTTGGGATTACAAGTTCCATGCTAATGATTTCGCCACAGCGCGGGATGCTTCGATGATTTTAGTACAGTCTTACGTACTAATTTTCGCGGAAGTCATTTTTAGACGCCGAAGAAAGCCAGCGGCATCAATGGACGGAGAACGACAACACGTTCACCGGTGGCGGTTTGAGAATTTTTGTGTCGCACTATTGCCACGCCCATAAACGTGGAGGGAAATGAAGAACAAACGGACGGAAACACGGCTAAATTAAGTAACGAACACAAACCGCGCCGGCCAGGACATGCACCACATATATCCTACGGGAAATACCCAACAACACATTAAAAGACAACAAGCTTACATTCAACCGCGTCTTCTTCGCCTCACAACATATCACGCAGGTGTAAACTGCGTTACAAAGTGACCCCCAGTGCACTTCACCAAACTTACACCCCTGAGCCCGGCAGCGCCGCAGTATGGGCCACGAGCTCACAAGCTCGGCGCACCGAGATAAGGCCACGGCCGCGCTCCGGGGCCAGCTATCGGCACCCCTTCCGGTGATGTCACCCGTCCCTCTCGTCAGGCGCTCTCCGGCCTCAAAGGATACACGATAGATCGAGGTTGAACTTGCCCTCCTCAAACCTCTTCTTGTTCTTTGACACCATTGTCTTTATCACGTTTGAGGAGGCCATGGTGGCGATGAGCAGGTCAGGCCAGGCCAGGTCAGGTCACGGCAGGTTCGGTGGCGGGTCCACGCTGGCCAGCTGCCAGTGCCGCCCTCAGCCTGTGAGTGAAGCCAGGTTGACTACGGGGCTGGCTTGACTCAGCTCAAGTTACTGAGATTGGACGTACCAAAACTGCCTTGAGCTAAATATGTAGAAAGTTCCACCATTCCGCCTCCATGTTCACGCAAAATGTACCTTTGCAGGACGTTTTCTCTCCATATGGCAATACATCTACAAAGTTGGGCTCTGTGGGAGGGGAGTGCCGCAAGCTGGTAGGTGCTTGCATTGTGTCATCATCTTAGTAAACAGCGTTAGAAAACCGAGGGCGCCGCAAAAGTGGCAGTGTTTCAGGCAAGCAGGATGTGATGTGGTTGAAAAAGGCTCATAAACTTAATTCTAGTACACCATTATCATTTTGCATGACTTTTAGTCAGAGGTTTCAATGCTCAACATTGTCATGACCGCAGAGATCATACCAATATTTGCTAACCAAACAGTGTCAGATATCACAACCACAGACACCACATACCAACTGCCCCTAAGCACAGCCTTGGGGGGTAGGTTTAGGACATATCAACTGTTATAGGTCATGCAGCCACAGCCTTTTGGGTTTGAATGACAATATGTGCTGGGTTCCATCTGTCTGGATTCCAGAAGTGGGAGCAGGCAGTTTCTGAGATTCCAGTGATTATTGGAGTGTTGGACCCAATAATATTCTAGCCTTTTTTCAAATCTATACTGAACATGAACAAAGACTGCACAACCAGTTCCTTACCTTGCATGCCACACACCTTAGGAAAGTGTGGCATGCATACCTGCATAAAAGCCCATCACATTAAACTACTTTGAATGTGTCACTAGGCCAAAATACCAGTCAGAGAAATACTCAGGTGAGACATAAATAACTAGATGTCATTACATTTCATACAGCAATACAAGTACAAACAGCGGTCCAGTCTGAGAAAAATCAGTATACTGTGTGAGTGACACTGATATGCTGATCTTGGTGCACACGCACCTTGAACTCAGTACAGGCTAAAATTTACCAAAATCATAACCCATGTTTGTCTTTAAACATATGTTATGGGTATTTTGCATTAACACACCATTACAACATTCTGATGCCATAAAATGGTGGCTCTCCATGTGCTGAAAAAGGGCTGCAAAAATAGACATTCCTCTAAGCATCTCCAACATAGCAGTGAAATCCTGGAAATAATTCAGTACATGTATGCCATGCCTCTGAGAGCTCAGACTTGGTGCAAAGTCAACAGCAATTTCAGTGCATGGAGAGCAATGTTTCAAGGAATTATGATGTACAAGTAGTTTCAAGGAAAGTAGCCTTAAAGAGAATGTTCCACATCTGAAGATGTTAAAGCAGCATCAGACATGATGAAATAAGCTCACTTATAGCTATTGGTACACTTTTAAGTGGAAAAGGATGCTCTAGACAGCACTATTTCTGTGCAAAGTAAATATGCTCCTTAACACTTCATTGTGTGATTACATCATCATAACTTGCACAACACTGACTGGGAGCCAATTGACTACCACTTTATCTGAAAGTTGTGCTCACAAGTACAAGATATGAATGACTCAACAATTATATTTTACTTGGCCTCAACTACCACATGGCCAATATAATCACAGGCTTTGAATGGTATTTTTATGGTATTGTGGTTGCCTGGGTGACCTTCAAAGAGTCCCTCTGAAAGTCTGCACATCTTTGAGGGTGTATAGCTTAGAAACTTGAAGAGTTTAGGTTTAAAGAAGGGCAGAGCTGTGAACTGCTCTGAATGGTCATGAAGATGGCCTTTTCAGTTCAGAAATCCGTACAAATGTGGAACACTGCTTTTAAAAGGTCTTCATGCAGAAAAATACATTACAATTCTGATAAATTTTGTGTGACCTGACTTTAGCACCCAAAAAATTGTCCCGAGAAATGAAGGTTTAGCACAACGTCATGTGGGCATCCATCACACTTTTTCCTGGACTGATAATGAATTGATGGAGACTGCACACCAAACTCTGGCTCACCAAATTTATGGCACACATGCCAAAAACATTGTGGCAACATCACCACTACCCTGTTTATGTTTGGCACCTGTATTTTCACAGTTTGGGCAGTAATTAATTCAGTCTGTCAAATTCACCAAAAGCAAGGTATCAAAGCAAAGCGCTTTACAGCACAGGCAGATTTCACCAAATTGAACATAGGCATACGAACATGCAAAACAAACATCGGCCGCGAGAAGCGCTCGCGAATTCTAAAGCACCTACCTCGGTAACTACCTACCTCAGCGAACCCTATACACGGTGCAGCAATAGCATGTATCACAATCAGCTCAGACAATGCCAACCTGCTCGTGGCAAGCAGCACATATGGCGCTCCAATAACACGGCACTATCTCCTCAGCCATGTAAGGCGCACACCGCCCCGCTCGCAACGCGACCACATACCTAACGTCTTCAGAGCTACGTGCGAACACTATCGGTTGGGAACAAACAAGAACAACGGGGGCACGTACGCTGGCACAGACCGAAAACCTTTTGGTATATGACGCTCTTGTGACGTACAGCGGACCGCTGCTAATGCGAAGGAAGTCATAGTAATTACGTCCCTCAAAATTTTATTGTTTAAATGACGCCTTGAGATATATTTGCAGTTATACTTTTAGTGAATAGAACGTTTTTGGTATGCTATTATGGTATATAAGTGCATACAATTCTCCAGAGCTTATTTTGCTGACTTTATATGACGTCATTTATTGGAAAAGCTTCAGTTCACTGTCAAGCCACTTTAATGTGTGATTCAAGGATTGAAATTTGGAACGAGCTGATGCTGTGCGACAGCGTGGTAGGCGGCGTGGTTGCATGTGGCGTGAGGGGGTGCTGTTGACCATGTTGTTAAGACCCATGCATGCACTGCATGCGCCCGCCTTGGCTTGAAATTAGATGGCTGCAGGCCGTATCGAATGTTTTTTTACATTAGGCGCAAAGTTCCAAGTGGATATTTGGGTAGGCAAAAGGTGGCCCGCAGGGCTCAGTTTGTGTGGCAGCTTATACCTATTCACACTTGGGTCTTCTATCTGTAAAGGTAGCTCAATTTGGTATGTCCTTAGTCGGATGAGTGCAAGGGAATATTTTTGTGATACATGCCTGAAATAGTGCCTTGCTAAGCTATGATTTTGTGTTGCTGATGTAACATTTGTACATGTACAACATGCACTGCTTTTATTAGACATTAAGGCTGAAGTATGGAGAGGGCAGGTATGCCACCATTGTGAAGTTTTCGCCTTGGACTGGTAGCAAAAAATATATGCAGCTGATCCAGTATTTCCATGTATTTGGAATCTGGGGCCATACTGCCCATGGCAGTTACTTACCTCATCATTGACTATATTGGGCAGTAGCAAGCAGAAGCTGCTTGTACATACTTTTGGCACTTGATGTATGAGGTCAATGGGATCCACCTTTCAGAATATCTGGAGCAGCAATCAAACAAATTCATCTGGTAGTTTTTGTTTTTCATGCTTTAGGGTGTGAAGTAATCCACAGGATGTCTGGTGGATGCTGGTATGCTTGCAAAGAGGTAGAAAACCTCAGCCCTGGTATAGTCCATGGGTGTCAGATATAAATTCTATAGGTACAGTACATTTGGTACTTGCCATGTAGACTTGTTAAGGGTTAAGGGAGGTCAGAATATAAATGTCTGTTTTGCTGCATTGTGCTAAGTGTATGCTGAACATCTGTTTAGTTTTATGTTATTTGTATACTGTGTATATGCTTGGGGCTTTTTGCTTCCACTGTGCTTGCAATGACATACCAGCTGGGTTTCTGTCAAGCCACCATGTATTTGCATATTTTTATGGCTTGATGTTGCAGGTGCAAATGGATCACAACTTGAAGACATTCACATTTGACAGGATCTAAGTACATCATTGTCAACATTTGCTTTAAGTTCAGTGGTATGATGTCTGGACAGCAGGATGGCCAAGATGGACATGGTTCATTAGAAGAGCATTGCTCCAACAAACCAAAACTAATGAAGCCTGAAGAACCAGCAGTAATAAATTATGACACTGGCCCAGTTTCATGTTCTGACAGCGAATTAGCTGACTCCTCATCTCACGTAACCCAGCAATGGCCAGCATCTCCAGCAGTGTATCAGAGGGCAGACACAGACTGTGCATCTACAAAGCCTGTCACAGCAGACAGAGATAGTGTCATGGACTGTCACACAGATCAGACCATCACACTGTGTGCAGAAGGCAGTCCAATGCGTGATGGCTGCTCTCCTCCCCGCAGCGGTGATGCATCAGTTTCAAGTGCCATCATCACTCCTGCTGCCCCCACTGCAGCCATCCTCCACACAAGCAGCCCACCTGTCCACCTTTGCCCAGTGGCGGACTCTGTGCACCCAGTTGCCGCGGAGGCGTGGTCAGGCGACCAGCGGACCTGGCAGGGCTCCCCTGGCACGCCCCCTAGAGCTGGTGACGGGCTCCCCGCCAATCACGACCCCGGCAGCGGCGTGACGTCATCAGTGGGTGGGGCTGAGGATGCCGGCACGACAGCCGACCGCGGCGCTGATCGGTCGTCCGGCCCGGCGCTAGCGCCGTCGCCGGTTAACAGCGGCAGTTCAGCTGCCGGCCACGGCGGTCAGATGGCGCTGGTCGAGTACAGCTCCAGCGATGAATCCAACGAGGAGGAGGAGGAGGAGCAGCAGCCGATGCCGCCAGGTGAGGGGAGGGGTGTTGAGCGTCGGGTTTCGCGCCCAGTCAGCACAATGTTATATCATGCCATGCCATTTCACAAAATTGCTTTAGTGTTCAATAGAGGATGTGGAGAGGACACAATTGGTCAATGAGGTTATGGCAGTTGTTGGAGTCACCATGTCAGCATGTCTCCAAAAACTCAGGATTTTGTAACTTTTCAGTTCAAGGGGATAATCGACATTTCAAGGTAATGAGGCAACTGCCAGATATGATTAAATATGCTCATTGTAATTTTTGGTGTGCTTTTGAGCCCTAAAAGACTGCTTTAGATGACACAATTTCACAACTTGGTAAATATACCCCGCACTACGTGATCTTTTCATTGCGTCATAGAACCGTTTATGGCGTCAGAAGGGCTGCAGAACTGGCCGTGCGCAATTGCTGCCCCAGCGGACAGGCTGACTCACTTACAATACTGCAACTTTTCGAGAGGTGTCCTGTAATGTGTGCCCTGTTCCCAGGACACAAAGGTCGTTTGCATGTCTTCTGGCCCTTTTTGTGGTGTATTTGCATCTTAAGCTGTGATTTTATGTACACTTGCATTCACGTGCTCATTTATATGCTATTCTTGAGGTATTTAATTTGGGGGTGTTCGCCGACATATCCTATTTCCGTAATAACTAGCACCACTGTCCAACTCCCTGTATAATGTAGCATGAAACGTGGTTTGTTTTTTAGACCTGCGCTTAATGCGTAGCGTTGTTTGAGAGCCAATTGAATGCCTTTGGTTCCAGAGATCGTGCTTACGTACATCAGGCACGACTAACGCAAAGATCATATTTTCATTGACCTTGAACGTCGTATGGCCAACATGGTGGCAGCATTTGAGTGAAGCTTCTATGGCGTGCGTTTCTAGTGACGCTTCTTGCACTTTTTGTGCAATGAATGCCATTAAATATATTATCTTCTCCTTGATCCTTGTGGCGCGTTTCATGCGTGCCTGGGTGACCGAATTAGTCTGCACGACTTCGCCGGCGTCTAGTTCAGAACAGGCTCATCCCTAGAAGGGCAGGGCTGTTAACTGCACCGAACGATCTTCAAAATGGCTATCTCAGCTTAAAACCCAATACAGTTGTGGAACGCATCCCTTAAATTCGCGCCGCCAATAGCATTTCCACGCCAATATTTGTCAGCACTCTCCACGCAGGTCAGGATGTTCATTCCACCGATAGGACTGTCCACTGAGGTCCATGCGTTCCCGTAAGAACACCAGTGGCCAGCTGACTTCCCACGCCGCGCGCCGCCTCCCACGCCTCGGAAGTGGATTGTTGCCGCCTGCATGGTGCGCTGGGATCCGCCTTCGAGCGCGTGGGTTCTTGGTGCGGTGCAGTCAGCGGTGCAGTCAGCGGTGCAGTCATCGAACGCATGTCTTGGCGCGGTCGCCTGTCTGATAATGGCCGTGCCTTCACTGACCAGTGCTCTCCTCTGGGACCTGTTGCAGCAGTAGCGGCGGGCCGACCCGCGACGAATCTGGCCCACCCGGTGTCCACTGTGGGTCCGGTGTCCGCTGTGGATCCAGCGTCCGCTGCGGATCCGGTGTCCGCTGTGGACCCGGTGTCCGCTGCGGATCCTATGCAGCAGCGGAGAGACAGCCCGGTTTCCGTGGCCATGGTGGACCTTACTTCCGGCGCAGAGAACCGCATGGACCTTACCGCCGATGGGGTGGACCAGATGGACTTTGCTAGCGGTGGAGGCGATCACGTGGAAGTCGTCTCCGGCACAGCGCACGGCACTGCCGGTAAAGTGGACCTCGTGGACCTCACATCCAGTGCAGTGGACAACACGCTCAGTGGAACAGATCCCGTGGAGCTCACCTCCCCCGCGACGGACGGCGCCGGCGCGGTGGAGCCCGCGGCGGCCGCCGGCACGCCCCAGGACGTGGAGACGAGCGCCGGGGTGGTGGTGCTCCGGCCGGACGGGCGCGGGCTCGGCGGAGGGGCGCCGGCGCCGCGGTGGACCGCCGCGGACGCCGGCGGCCGCGCTGTCCGTGGCGCCGCTGACAGGTGAGGACGGTGTGGCACAGGTGGGCAGGCATCATAGAGGGTGCAGGCAAGGGAACGCGATGCGGGAGGAGGTGAGACAGAGGGACCGGGGAGGTAGGGAGGGCACTTGGGAGGTGGGAAAGTGTTTAGGTTATGTGGGAACAGGTGCAGACAAATTGGGGTGCAGGAGAGGTGGCAACGGCCACAAGCGGGGTGGAAAGGGCTATAAGCGAGGTGGAAGGGGCTGAAAAAGGGGTGAAAAGGCTGCAAGTGAGGTGGAAAGGTTTGCATGCGAGGTGGAAGGAGCTGCGAGCGAGGTGGAAGAGATGCAGGGGCTGTGGAGAGAGTGGTGTAGATGCGTGGTAGTGGGCGAACAGGGGGGTACCGGTAACGAGACGTGCCTTTGGAAACGAATAGGTTTTCAAGGGGTGGAAGTGGCCGACAGTATAGGGTGAAATAAACGACAATCGACGAACTTGCCTGCAATGTCTTCAGATAAGCGTTATTTGGCTGGTTGATGTATAAACTCTATGAATTTATTTATATCCGATGCTCGTCGGCTTGTCCTGATCTAATGCTATGTCGGCGAACAGTGTGATCGGTGCAAGTTAATGCGCCACTTCTATCAACTTCCGCCAGGGATGTATGTGTCAATCCACTCGCTGCAGCAACTGCCATTAGACCGCATGCGGGTCGTGGAGACAGGGGTGGAGGCACGGTATGGGCGCTCACACGTTCCCGGCTCAGTGTTCAGACGTGATCCTCTGCTGCCGTCCCGACTCTGCCATCGCTGGGCGGGAAGCGCCCCGACAACAACCGCCCGTGGCCGGCAGCTCGGAGGACTCCGAGTCCGACTCGGACTCGAGCTCCGACTCCGACTCGAGCTCCGACTCGGACGGCCAGGAGGTCGCTGAGAAGGAGGAGGAGGAGGAGGAGGGAGGCGAGAAGGACAAGGCTCGGCGTGTCTTCGGGCCCATGACCAAAGGAGAACTATGTGAGTGCTCAAGCCTAAGCTTCTCAGCAACTCTGTCCTCGGGACGAGTGCTGAGCAACCCTGCCGTAGGTCCATGGTTGCTCAGCAACTCTGCCCCCGGGCCAGGGTGGCTTAGCAAGTTCCCTGGGGTGAAGGTGCTCATTGGCAGGACAGCGGCGGCTGCAGCAGACACGCCGCTGTTCAAGTGATCTTACTGGCTGATTTCGGTTCACGGACAGGATTCAGTCTGTCCGCGAACAGCGCAGATAGGCTTCATTCGGTGGTGGGCCAGTGAAGTTTGTTGTCGGTGGCCGGCAGGAGAGAAGTATAAGCTTTACCTGTTGTGGTAGTATCCAAATGGGCAGTGTATGAGCTCTATGTTGTTTATGTCCATTTTATTTCATGGCCGGTATAAAAGGTGGACGCCGTTGTCCCATGTTTGCATCCATGATAGAATCAGACTGTTCTTTTATGTGAATACCTGTTATAAACATAATTTGGTACATTCTCCAATATACAGAAGACTAGGAGGTTTTCTGGACAGGCCCAATCCCCTAAAACGTTGGTGTGTGACTTTGAACAGTTACCCTTCTGTTTCTCCACCCTGCAAATTTAACACGCGGCATCATGCTCCTGATATTTAGCGTTACCGACCTACACCCCGTCATCGCCCAAACACTGTGCCGCACCCCTCCTCTCCCGCCCTGCCCGTCCTGCTCTGCCCCTCCCGCCCCCCTCCCGCCTTGTTCATTCCGCCCCTTCCGCCCCGCCCCGCCTTGCCCCTTCCGCCCCGCCCCGCCGTGCCCTTCCACCCTACCCCACCTTGCCCCTTCCTCTCCGCCCCGCCCCTTCCGCCCCGTCTCGCCTCGCCTCGCCTGTCTTGTCTTGTCTTGTCTTTGTCTTGTCTTGTCTTGTCTTGTCTTGTCTTGTCTTGCCCTGCCCTGCCCTGCCCTGCCCTGCCCTGCCCTACCCTGCCCTGCCCTGCCCTGCCCTGCCCTGCCCTGCCCTGCCCTGCCCTGCTGCCCTTGCCTTGCCTTGCCTTGCCTTGCCTTGCCTTGCCTTGCCTTGCCTTGCCTTGCCTTGCCTTGCCTTGCCTGCCTTGCCTTGCCTTGCCTTGCCTTGTCTTGTCTTGTCTTGTCTTGTCTTGTCTTGCTTGCCTTGCCTTGTCTTATCTCGTCTCGTTTCGTCTCACCTCGCCCGCCCTGGCCGCGCTGTGACGTCGCTCTCTGACGTCACAGGCCTGCTGGACTTACCGGCCATCGAGCACCTGCGCATCTCGCTGCCGGAGGAGCAGTGCACGCGCGTGGGCACCGTGGCCAGCGTCGTCGAGTGTCTCGGTGAGAGTCGGCTTGGCCGGCCCGCGGGCGGCGGCGGGCGAACGTCGTGCCGCGGCTGGTGGGCCGCTTTCCACGCGAGGTTTCGCGTGGGTGCGCTGTGATCCATGCGTAGCGTTCGATTGGTGGGTTGTTGTTGCTTGGTGGTCCTTGGTTTGATGAGCTGTTGTTCCTGCGTAGTGCTCATTTGGTGGGTTGTTGTTCCTGGGTGGTGTTCAGTTGATGGGCTGTTGTTCCTGCATGGTGTTTAGTCGGTGGGTTGTTTTTGCTGGGTGGTCTTGGTTTGGTGGGCTGTTGTTCCTGCGTGGCGCTCAGTTGGTGGGTTGTTCCTATGTGATGTTGTTCCTATGCGTTGGTGACCTGATAATCGGCGGTGGTCCTGGTCTGATGAATCCTTATCCCCCACCCCCCCCCCCCATATGCTTTCAGTGGTAGGCTGTGCCGTCTTGCACTTATGGTACAAAACCAAGCCCTTGCGGTGTGCCGCTTATCCTGTGTTGTTTTGGCGTCACTGAGTTGTATTGACTCAGTTATGTTGCTTGTCTGTGTGGTTTTGTCGTCTGTGAGATTGTGCGTGATCTCCACACGGCAAGTTTCTATCTTCTGCCACGTGTTCGGCGTCATTTCCATTACCGTTGTCATAGAGCCTGACGGAAGGAACTACCCCGATAAGTGTCCCTCACCTGTGAGCTTCACTAGCCTAGCTCTCGCCGGGGCTAAAGCATGGGTTCATTGGTGATCGCAGTAAATCGCTTGCGTCAAGAATGACGCAATCGATTGAAACGATATGTCGCAATCGACCATCTTCGCAGTACTGTTGTCTTCGCTGCGAACGTCACGCGCAGGGCGCCTTCTGTGACTTATTCCGAGCCTCTGGCATAATCAATTTGATGTTCATCTCTGCGGAAAAAGATTAAGTAGGGGTTTGTCAGCGACCATATGCTGTCTGGACGGGATGCGCCGAGTCCGCTCACAGAGGCGATACCGGCCTGGAGTCGACCTCTCTGAACGGAAACGGTCTGCAATTCAGATAGCTTTTTCTCTCTGATGTAAAGTGTGTTGAGGTTACCTGATCTTTCGTTGCACTTCACTTGGACGCTCTCCCTGATTATGCCACCGAAGTCTATAAAACTGCACGCGGGTTTTGGCTGCTACAGAGTGCGATGAATCTGAAGATGTGGGCAGAATAGCCGTCGCTGTGTTTGAACCAGTGCTGTGTTCGGCCCGACTGAATGTAGCCTAAAGCCCAGGGGCATTGGCCCCGCTGGTAGCGATGCAGTTTGTCTTCCTATTTTGTCATTGATTGTTTTATTTGGACACCTGCATGGATGGACTTTTCACTGATGTTGCTGCGCCTTCACTGGCTGAGGAATTACAGACTGTCACTTGGTTTGGCTAGATCGGCCAGGGTGATGGGGCGGGAGGAAGGTTGAACCGGTCGCACACAAGGCTCAGGGAACGACGTCTGCAGTTTACTGGTGTTATGACCTCAGATCTGCCTGTTTCGCCATGACATTTGGTCTCGTGTCCTCTTCACTAGCAGCACCTCTCCACTTCACCAGTGCGGTGGTCCGACTGTGTCCCCACCAGCGGTCCGACTGTGTCCCCACCAGCGGTCCGACTGTATCCCCACTAGCGGTCCGACTGTGTCCCACCAGTGGTCCGACTGTGTCCCCACCAGTGGTCCGACTGTGTCCCCACCAGCGGTCCGACTGCATCCCCACCAGTGGTCCGACTGTGTCCCCACCAGTGGTCCGACTGTGTCGCCACCAGCGGTCCGACTGTATCCCCTACCAGTGGTCTGACTGTATTCCCACCACGACAGGTTTTATTGTATTCCCACCACCGGAAGTTTGACTGTTTTCCCACCACCAGAGGTTTGACTGTATTCCCACCACCAGAGGTTTGACTAGGTTGACAGAGGTTCCCACCACCAGTGATCTGTATATCTGCACCAATAGTCTGGCTGTATCCCCTGTCACCAGCGGTCTGACTGTATCTCCTGTCACCAGTGGTGGTACAGTCGACTCCCGGCTCGCCGCCGCTCGACATCGACTCGGTGCTGTTCCTCGAGAGCGGCCGCCGCCCTCTCGGCCGCGTCTATGACGTCATGGGGCCGGTCCACCACGCCGCCTACTGCGTGCGCTTCAACAGCCCAGAGGTAGCTGCACTCACGGAGCCCGCGTGCCACCGGCGCGCGGGTTCTCGTAGACCGGGACTCGTGACGTCAAATGACACGTCTCGCTCGCGCGCGCTCGTGTTTGCAGCGTAGCAGGAGGCGGAAGTTGGGAGGTGAGCTCGGTCGAGCGTGGTTGGCAGATAACACGAAGGCGCCTGAGGTATGGGATGCCACCCAGACTCGCCGTGTGTTTACGAGAAGAGTCTGGACCTTGCCTGATACTAATGAGCTTTTGGCTGCACCAAGGCCAGTCGTGCCCACCGTAACCTCTCCGGTGTCGATGAAATCTCGCGCGTAGGGTCACATATGTCCCCATACGACATCCAAGTGACATTTACTTCTCGAGGTCATATGGGCCACAACATATGACGTCGAATATTGAGGCTTATCTAGAAAGATGAGCCAGAAATTAATTGGGACGATCCGGTGCTGCCGCGATAAATAATTATGACCACTCCCGGTCTTTTCGTGATCACGTGATCTTGTGACCTTTGTTACATTTGTAACATCCTTGACCTTTTAAAGAATTCCATCCTGAAAATTTTGTTTTTTTCTCTGAAAGATGGCCGGGACTGTGGGTTCTGACATACAGTTTTCTTTGCACCTCTGGCCCTGCTGTGTGTCACCGACGTGAACGATGAGGTCATGTTGTGGCCTTTTAACTGCCGTTGGTGTGTGTGGCATACAACGTAGCCGATAAGGACGCCCTTTGAAACAACCAGTAGGTGGGAGGTCCCGAAGGTCACGCGTCAGTCATGGACGTGAGAATGGACAGTAATTACAGGTGGAACATGACATCTAGTGTACATGTCTATCATTTTAACGTCACGCTTTAGCATACAATGATGACGCGAGACCGGGCGATGTTGATGACATGCATGTACGGCCCGCTACACAAGTTCGCCACCGTGACCAGTGAGCCTTGCAATGCCCTCTGCTGTGTTGCTGTATGTTACATGATGACATTTTGAGGCCTCCGGTGAACTGGGTAAACAATGGGTTGAAGGGATAATGGATGAGTAGCCACCATGGGTAGCGGGTGGGAATTACCCCATCCCCATGGGTGGCGGGTATGACCCCAGCCGCATGGATGGCGGGTGGATTAGGTAACGGGAATCTTCCCCGTCAGGGCCTCTTATGTCAGTGTCGTATTTTGCTGTCGCCTGTAAAACGTGTCAATGCCATGATTCATGGGCATCTGCTCTTGCAGCACAGACATCTTGCAGTTATTTTCTGGTATAACTTTCCAGACGTCTCTGAAAATTCCATGGCCTAAATCCCGTGCCATTACTTGCCAAAAAAACTAACAATCGCAGCGGTGTAATTTATGACAGATGTGTACGAGTTCCGAGTTTCTTCAGAATTCTCCTCTTCTCCGAGGAGTGGTGCTATTATTACCGCCCTACCTATGTGAACAGTTTAAGGTCTACCTGGGGGATTTTTCCAAGGATAGGCCGTTTTTGTGCTTTTTTGGTAAAGCATTGCTAGCCCCCGGTGAAATGGCAGACTAGACGCCTGCAAGGAAGTGGAGAGTGACTTGTGCAATATCCAGTGAAAATGCGTGGTACACTCCTGCCAGTAACAGGTCGTGTTTGCTCTCCTGTATTCAAATTCAACTTCCCAACATTCTTATTTGAATCCACAGACATTTCCTTCTACCAGTCATTGACGACAGCTTAGTTCTTCCCGAAGGGGCGTGATTGGCTGGGTGAACGGTGTTTCTCTCGCTCGCCGTATAAGCTTGCCATCGTAATGGTGCTACTTGTGGGGGTTGTATTGCGAACGGGCACCTGGTGGCCCGTCCTTTCAAGGGTGGAAGTCCCTGCCGCGAGCGCAGGCGTGAGCGCGTGCGTTGTGACAGGAAGCTGCTGGAGCTGATGAGACCAGGGTCATTTAACAGGCACAGAGGACAGTCTCACCGTGGCTCTGGTGCCTGCGATCGCGGTGCCTGCCCCACAGATCCATGTCAGCTAATGTGGCTTGTCCTGATGATGTTCTGTAGCTTTAGCGCGCGCCGACTGCGAGTAGTCCTGATCTACTGTTTGTTGGCGTGGTCATGGTATATCGTTAAGCTGATGTGATCCTCCTGCCGTGAGGGGGGGGGGGCGGGTTTAGGTCACCTGCACCAAAGCCCCGCATGCAAAAGTGGCCTTGTTTTTATGTCACTCCACATAGAGGCATAGTGCCTTTCAGTGGCGCCGTCTTGAATCGTTGGAAGAAGTCCTCGCTGTACGGAATTGGCCCGACCTTTCTCAAAATTCGCTTTAAGTTCTGTTGTCGTTGGCATCCGAAATGTAATGCAATAGGTAAGTTGCCTCCCCCTCCCCCAAGAAAAAGCCAACAGCAACGAAAAAAGGCGTTTGACGTTGCCATTTTTGGCACCAGAAAGGTTCCAAAGACCATAGCCTTATCGTAGGACTATCAGCAGCTTCTGAGAATGAGCTGCACGTCTGCGGGAGCTTCGAAGAGAGCCACTGGCCCCGAGGCTGCCGACGCTGATGACGCCCACCCGATGATGCCGCTGAGATGGCCGTGCTTGGGACCGCTCTCGTTCTGCCCTCCAGGAGATCCGCGAGTTCGGGATAGAGGCGGGCGCGGACGTGTTCTACGCACCCGGCTCGGACGAGTACAGCCATTACGTGTTCGTGGAGGCGCTGCGCAAGTAAGTAAGGAGCGTTTTTTGGCGATAGGTGGAATCACTCTTGACCCGTTTGCTTCTGCCACGGAGCCGCAACTGTGTTGTTGCGGACTTAAGGTACCGGGGGGAAGCCAGGTCGGTACAACTGTGCCAGGGACAACGGTACTTCTTGGTCAGGGACAATGGTGCAACTGGGCCAGGACAGGGACGGCTGGGACATGGCTGGACCTGATTGAATGCGGAAAACTGACGGGGTAGGAGGAAGGATGGGACAGAACAAATATGTTCGTGGCAGGACCAGAACAGACCAGACTAAGCCGAGCCAGACCAGAACTGTTCAGGCCCGACCTGACCAGACCGGACCGCACTGGACTAGACCGGAGTGGGTCCGAGTAGATTTGACCTGACCTGACCTGACCAAACCTGACCAAACCAAACCAGACCAGACCAGACCAGACCAGACCAGACCAGACCAGATATACATATATATAATATAGACCAGAGCTGGAATGGAGACAGAGGCAACCAGAACTGCACAGAAAAAGACGAGCCGAGGTGGGGCGCTGTGTGCCGTTCCATCCTGTCACGTCCTGTCAAGCCCTGGGTGGCGCTGTCATTAATCTGTCCCTGCTACCACAGCACAGCACAGCACAGCACAAGCACGGCACAGCACAGTACAGCACCACACAGTACAGCACCACACCACACCACACCCACACCACACCACACCACACCACACCACACGACAGTCATGTGAAGGCATATTCTTATTACTCGTTTTATTTTCAGTAAATGATATTCCAAGGGCTTGTAGGTTAACTGAATGCATGTTCATGTTTACAATCGAAGTTACACGCACGTTTGTTCCTGGCTGGCGCGAAACAACCAGTTTCTGGGCGTTTTTACTTGTCGGCTCGATTTCCCAGCCGCCTCGGTAGCGCTCACGGGCTCCCCGTCCGACCGGCAATTCTGAAGATGCCTCGACCAATCACGCGTCAGTTTGCGGTCTACCGTCTTCCTGTCCTGGAATACTCCCGCCCGCTCAGCATTGCCTGAAGATTGTATTCCAACTTTGGAAGCGCCGGTAGAATTGTACGTCAGAACAGCTGTGCAGCGGCAATCGGGAGCAGGGCCAAGGTCGCTGTGTACGTTTTGCGCCGTACGCACGGAAGGGTTGCGTCGCTAGCCAGTTGACGAAAGGTTTTAAGTTGGCAAAAGTGCTTCGTGGAAATTGTTTGCGGCTCCAGCTGTTGCTGTGCAGTGTTTACCGAGATTGAGGAGATTGAGATATTGAGTTTGATCACAATATGATAACTAACAATACGGTGCCCGGGTCCCATTAAGTATGATATTTGATTTTCTGTTACTTTGTTCCATGAACAAATTCTGTTCTCCGCTTTGTTGTTAACAAATTGTCTGTTCGAATCGCTTTTAATGCTTATAATGCATGTCATGCATTATGACATGCTTATAATGCATGCCATTCTGCATGCTGGCAGTGCTGATTAATGTTATATGGACATGGGGCCCAGTACCAGAATGGTGCTTTTTATGTAACCTACATACATATGAGAGCAAGCACCAGAAAGCTGCAATGGCTTAAGCATGCAGCAAGAACTAACAACTGAAAGGTTTGAAAAGCAGTTTGTTCTCTCCATGTCTCCATAATGTTCCAGGGGGTAAGGCAGACAAGAGCTTGTCAAAATTGTTCCTATGAAAATGGTGAGATGAATTAAGATAATTGATTTTTGCATGCCTCAATACCATTGTTTAAAATTATGGTTGGTTATTAAAGGCTTTAAGCAGTGCGAGAGGTTATATTTGGTGTCTACAAATGAAATGTTGGTCTGAAAAACTGGTTTGCTAGGAATCTCCATGCCATTCATGCATGATAGCCACCAGTCTTAACCACCTAGTTTTTAAGTTGAGGTGTTATGCTATCTCTTAAACCTGATGGACATTCATATTGGTGGGAATGTAGTGACTAGCACTTTTGGACAAAGTGGTGGTTAGCTATTTTATGCACATCAGTATCTGTAACTTGCTTATAATGCATATCATTCTGCACACTGGTGGTGCTGATTAATATGGTTACATAAACATAGGGCCAGGTATGAGAAAGATGTTTTTGATGTAACCTACGTACATATGAGACCAAGCACCAGAAAGCTGCAATGGCTTGAGCAGCAATAGTAACTAACAAATTAAAGGTTTGAAAAAAAATAGATAGGTTATTCTTGATAATGTCTCCATAATGCTCCAAGGCATATGGCACACAAGAGCTTCTCAAAATTATTCCTTTAAAGATGATGTCATGAATGGGAATGTAGTGTGTGGGAAATGTGGGAATGTAGTGACTAGCACTTTGGGGCAAGTGATGGTTAGCTATTTTTGGCACAAAATCTCACTCGTTGCCATTATTTGATGTCACGGCACTGCAGGGATTATGGAAGGGTCCCCAAACGTGGGCTTTCTCTTCCCATTTTTTCAACTAAACATTTATTCCATATATCACTGCATACCACATTCAAAACCACATTTCAAAGAAACTTGCAATGCTTGCTTCAGGCTCGCCACCACTGCTCATGGCAGTCACTGAATGTTGGTTTGCTATGACTGTGTGGACATGGAGGAATGAAACAAAAGATTGTGGGTGTGATGAGATGCATGGGAGCAGCCAACTGACTGTGACTTATGCTGCCTGCTGTTGGTACCAGGGGCAGATCTAATATGTTATGGGTTTGGTTTCCATCCAGCATTTGCCTCTCATCCAACATTCGATCCTGGTGATGTCACTGGGTCATGGCAGGTCTCTAGGGATTTATCTCACACCTAGCTCAACAACCATATGATTTGTTTTGGTTGCTCTCAGCAGTCAAAGCCACCTTGCCAAACAATGGCTTTTGTCCCACCTGACTCTATGGTGAGCTGAAGAGTTTGACCATCACATGGCAATCGATCACTTCCTTTGATGACAGCACTGCAATGAAACAGGTATGTTCTGTTCTCACACAATGACTACTGGACAGGCTGCAGTGAATTCTATCCATTTTTGGTTGGGTTGGGAATTCACCCTGTATTTGACATAAGTCATGTGGTGCTCAGGGCCACGCCAATGGGTTCTCTGCAGAATATGACATTTTTCATGCAATGTGGGCCTTGTTGCATGCAACACCATGGAGTTCATGTCAGATCTTTCGAACAGATAAGGTGGGCCGATGCCGTCACTACCTCTTCCATGTTTTCACATTCGCTTGATATGTAAAGACAAGTCGTATCATTGGATGTATTGCATACGATTGCCGCAGTGGCAAAGCGCAAGGCAGCGTTTTCAATCCGTCACAAATGTACACATACAGCTTGCACCGAGAACGCGGCGTTAGGGTCCTGTACCCGAATGCTTATGCATGTCTAACAAGCATAAAATAGCTATCTGCTTAGACTGGCCACCCAGCCAGCACATGGCAGCGACCTGAACTCGGCTTCCGCGGGCCTTGTTCGTCGAAGCTAAGTTCAGGTTCAGCTAAGCCATGGAGGTGGCAGCAAAGTTCGAACTACAAGCGCAGCACATCTTACAACATGGTCGGTCAGGCAGTCAGTCACATGGTGGTGATATGCATGCACATATTTGGAAGGCAACGACCAACATAACACATGACCAACACACATCACATTGATTACATCACCGACATCACAGCCACGTGCAGAATGTCAATACACCTTACACCTGTCGATAGGCTTCAACGTTGGGGCCATATTCGGAATGTCAACAGCAGACAGCCGGGCTTCCATGCTGACCAGACGCAATCCTTGCGGAAATAGACGAATGGGAAAGCTGAACTACGGCCCAGCCCAAGACGTACCACACAGGGATAGGACGCTCGGCCATCCGTTCAACCTGATTAGCTTCCCCATTTCATGTCATGTGACTTCTATTGGCGCCACGGAAATCATGTGCGCTAAATGCCCTTCATTTTTTTAAGCATCTGAACATCTCCTGTCTTGCACACAGTACCCATACAGCACAGCCCATTCGGCGGAAAGCCCTGTGACCAACATGATCAGCGCCATCTCCGGCGACCATGACGGAGCCACTTGACGTTCAACGTGATGCAACCTTGGAATGACATTCCATTGTCACGTATATGACCTCGGCGCCCAACTGGAACAACTTATGCATGAAAAAGATCCACAATGGTCACAGGAAACTTAAACTCTCGTACCGATCAGTGAATGGTAGTTAGCACGACAGAAAAAATGCCAACTTCGGAGTAGCACAGGGTAGCATCATAAGGTCAGTCATGTTTAATTTATCTACGAATGACCTTTCAAGCCATCTTCTGTCCAAGTGTGAAATTATATGCATAGGTGTGGTTTGAGTCCCCCACATAGTACGCAGCCCGCATGGGGCAGTTCGGCTGGCTTGTGTTCAAAAGGCCAATGCGTTTGGGTCAAATCACTCTCCCGACAGGTGTGATTTAAACGGATTGCCGCGACCGAATTTCTGTCCATTTTGTAGTGGTAAAGACCTGGCTCTTTAAGTTCAGACTCAGGGAAGGCTCCAGAGTAAGAGAGGTTATGCCGTAACCCTCCCTTATGTTATCCATGAGGTCTTTTGTGCATCGAACGGGCGCCGAAATGTTGTGACTGATTGGCGCCCAAAATCGTAATCTGAGAACGCCATAGCCTTTTTTTTAGACGTGCCCAATTCCTGGGCCCTCTCATTTCGCAACGGTACCGAATTCCTTGGACCCACATACAGCTCCAAAACGTTGCTTTTTAGAGGCACCAATTTCAGGACCACCATTGTCTGATGCTTTTCCCTTGACAAAATCGTGGATCGGTTCATTCCTTGAAGCAACACCAGCACCCTTCATTTCCGGACAACATAGCCTTATTTTCAAGATGTGACTAATTGAACCGGGCGTACGAAGGGCCAAAACATGATTTCAAGGGCTTCAAGTTTCAGCCCTTCGGCAGCTAGATACTTTACCGAGTTTGCCGTGCGTCTGGACGCACATTATTCCGGCATCTACATACTTTTCATTGACAACAGACACACATGCGAGGGGTACCACAAAGGAACCATAAAGCCATAGTTTTCGAGGAGCACGAAACTCTAGGGGCACCGCAATGTCATGTCTCACTTCACGATATTGTGGGTCGGCTTCTTCGTAAAAGAAACGCTGTAACCTTCATTTCGGGCCAGGTAATCTATATTTGTAATTGATGTGAAATTCTATGGGTCGTCACAAACGGCCCCAAACTTTTTGTTTTTCAAGAAACCTCATTCCAATGACCACGATCAGGGGCGCACGCGAGGGGCACTTAGGTCCAGAGGAGTCCCCCTCCCCAGGGGGGGGGGGGGCTCCATATATATATATAATAGTCGGCTCCGTGTCGATATGGACCCTGGGGCCCCTTTTCCCAAACAGAGGCGGGTCGGGAGACTGCAGAGCTCACGCGGAGGCCCCGTTGCATTATTCGGGGTCCTGAAACAGTGAAGCCTCGATGCTGGTCAGTGGTCCAGAATGCCTAACAGGGACCCAGGACCATAGCACTGAACGAGATATTCCCCGCCCATGGTTCGACAAGGGCTCCGATAAGCCAAACTGGGGTCCACTGCGTCATTTATTGGACCCCTGCAGCGATTAAGACATCCTTTTGCGTCAGCACTGATCCGGTGTTCGATGATGATGACGATGCCCAGGTCACAGGGCCCATCGCATCACGGATAGTACTAGTGTATGGTTTATACTATTCATGACCTACAGATCGAACAGGGGCCGCGAACAGGGCCCGGCCGCCCGTATCGCCAGGGTGGCAGCGGCTAAGAGTCCGGGCTGGGACGTAAGGGTGCTACCGGTCCTGACAAGGCAGAATTAATGAGCAATTTTGAAGTTGATCTTTGACCTGATAACAAGTTACAGCTGATTACCTACGGTAAGGTTGACGAGCGTCCACTTTCAACTCCATATTATTTGCGGTGTCCCATATAATTTTTCGTTTTAAGGGTATACTACACACTTGTGATTTTTATGGGGTTTCAAATAAAAGTAATTTTAAGACGTTTTCGGTTCCCGTTCACAATCCTGCCCTTCTTTGGGCCTAAGACCTCTAATTTCTGAGCCATAACCCTGCGAAGATGGAGAAAGGCAAATCGGGGAGAAATTTTAGACACCGTGGCATCCATGACGTCATAATAACGTCGTTTCAATCCTGCCATTCCACAAACCATGTGGCGATCAAGGCCAATACAAATGTTATTTCCGAGAAGTTCATATCTAACCTTCGTGAGCGCAATTTCCAGATACAGCGGCCGTCAATTGTCCCTCAATCAATGTTAAGCAAGGTACGATAACGTGATCAAACCATGACGCATTGAGGAGCACAAACAGAAAGTTGTGCTGTTTAGAGCAGTCTTTTCCGGCCAGATAGCATACCAACAGTTATGTAAGCTTCTTTCATCATGATACTTGCTTCAATCACTTTAAATGTGAAGCATTCTCTTAAATGTGAAAAAATATTAGGAGTGTGATCATCATCCCGCCAACACGTTGTATAGCCAATGCAAATTATCGACCCCGTTTCGGTCCACTAGATATGCAATCCGCGTGTCCTGAATCCTCATTATTTTTGTAGAACCCCGGGAAATCCAGTCTCGCCTTGATTGGGTCGGATAACAAAGGGCCCGAATGGGTCATTGTAAAGCAAGAAACGTCCGCGTTCTCCTACGATGCATTCAATACAGAGTGATTTCGAATTGAAATGTACCAAATCCAGCGAATTAGCTGGAGACGGGGTGGTGGAACTTCCACCAGTAGAGCCCGTCGTTAATCGTAGTGCATCGCCTCTACCAACACTGGTTGCACCTCTGGCGTCGTTGCTTGTGCAGTCCGCGCACTCAGAGGCCGAGGGGAGGGGCTCTTCTTTTAGACTCGGTTTCCTATGTTAGCATCGTGCATAGCTCCTGGAGGGGACCTTTTTGTGGTTTTTTTGTCTTCGCCGTGCCAATGTCAATGTCAATTTTGAACAAAACCGACGGGTAATTGCTGCCCACAGTCGCAAAGGCTGCGACGAATGACTCCATTCAGTGTCTTGTAAGCACCTAGATCGAACCTTTTATATGAACGGATGATAGAGGTTAGAACTCGCGCTAAGCAGTGCTTGTTGCGTGAGCCCTGACCCTTACCATCCTATCGTGAAATTCCTTGTCAACGGCTAAATATGGTGGCGGAAAGTTTAAGGTACGGGAATCTGAGGCCACAAAGAAATAACAGTCAAGTGCTGTGATGAATCGTTGATAGTGAAGTTTTTAATTGAAATAGTTCAAATCACTTTGTTTACTCAGACTTTGTTCATGGAGCAGTGGCATTAGTACCACACACAGCTAACAGACTATGTGACAGATGGTCCTAAAGCCTTTACCCGGGCATTTCTAAGACTGGTTGGCGGTTGGTGGGCAGGCTTGCGGCCGCAATCACTCAAGTGTGGAAAGAAAACAGAAGAGTCTAAAAAAATAACTACAACTGGTTGAAACCACTGGTCGTAGGACCTATTACGGTTCGCCGCTGGACAGTAAATTTTGTTTTTTGCGGGGCCCTTTCCCACCCGCCTATGTCCGGTGTCGCGGGAGAATTGGGCCCCGCACTGAGAACATTTATTTACTGTGCTCCTTCTAATATGGGCACGCTTGGCCGGCGTCGGGCCCGGTGATGGTGACTGCTGGTGAGAAGTGGCCGGGCGACGCGGTCCTCCCCGCCCAACTGTTATTGCGGGCAAGCTAAACCGGTGCGCCGGGCCGATAGACGTTTACCACCCGCAGCTCCAGCGGCGGGGCGGGAGCCGGTAGGGCTGCGGCGGCAACAGGCCGAGCAGGCGGCAGCTGCACCCCCTGCAGCAGCGAGATGCGCTCCAGGGCTTTCGCCCGGGCGTTGTACCTGGAGAGATCACAGATTGTCCGTGAACGTGGGCATCGTGTATGGAATAATCACGTGGGGCCTACAGTGGGTAATCGTCGGACGCCTGCTCGGATTGCAATATGTTAGACAGTTATGTCGGTGTGCCGCATGGGCGCAAGACGGTTCATTAGCGGCTTTGGTGGCAAGGATATACGAGCACCGATAAGCATTGCCATCTGGCCATCTGATCGGGAGGCCATCTGAGATGTAGCGAACAGGATTAGCTGCGGTTGCATATGCAGGTCTGCGGAGTTGGTAGCAACTGCGTATGCAACCCCCGCAACTACTGAAATGTTTCATCATTTGAATACTGACCACGACGTCAGCGTGTGCTGGTTCAGATGTGCGAGCACGATGCCCGTGTGGGCTTCTACCGCTGGATGCCGCAGGAGGGCTTCTCGGAGCTCGGCCAGGTGGCCCCAACACCATCCTCCAGCGCGGCACAACAACGCCACCCACACGCCGCGGGTTTCGGTAGCGGCGGCATAAGTCCTCAACGAGGCGCTCGCTAAGCCGGTTGATACTTGGCTTTTGGGCTGGAACAGCCCCGCTCTTAAGCGAGACGCTGTGGAATGGAGCAACGGACATGAACAGCGCACAACTGATGCCCTGCGTTTCGCGACGTTCCAAATTTAGCAATAGGACATAATGTACGATAGCAATCCATCGTCTAGCGGCGTGCGCCACTCGCGTGACACTGTTACTACATCCATTATCGGAGTAATAAGGGGGACGAAATGTCCCTGCAATGAGCGAGAGGGATGAGGGCGCTCATAACTATCTGAACTTTCGCTTACAATTTTATTAGGATGAAGCAAAAGGAAATCGGAAACTGTGTTTCTTACGTTCTGCACAGTCAAAACTGGTTGCCTGCGTTTTTCAAATTGGTTTAGTGATCGCCTCAACAGAAACAATAAGCGGATCATGACAGTCATACAACACAATATTACTGACCGCCGCACGGTGTCGGTGCCGGGCACGGCACCAGATTTGCGCTTCGACACTTTGAAGCGGCCGGTTGTAAGCTGGTCCTGGTGACGTGGGGAGGCGGCCACCCTCGCCTTGTCGCCGTCGGACAAACAGCTCCACAGATGGATGATATCAGGCTGCCTCGCGGTCGGTGATATATCCGCGGGAGCGGGGTAGCTCCGCCAGGTATGCGGCGAGTCCGGCACACCTCCGCGTACCCGGGCTGTCCGTCAGGACCGGTAACAGATTCCTAAAACACAAAACAGATTCAACAGTACGCTACATGCCCTCATTCGAAACCGGCCAGAACTAAAACATTGATGACTCGCTCCAAACGACCAATCTCAAGGCGCTGCCAACTCGAAAGTTGAAAAACTCGATGCTTGTGACAGCTGGCGAAGGTACGTACACATGTGACACAGTGAAACATGTTGCTTATCCGAAGGTGCATCGTACCTGCGCAGCAAGTGGTTGCCATCCCAACTTGCACCACCCTCGCGGCGGAGGCAGGCGGCTCCGGCTGTGGGGTGGAGGGCCGTAACACCCGAGCGGGTGGCAGCGACGGAGCCCGACGGCTCCGGCCGCGGGGTGGAGGCCGTCACACCCGAGCGGGTGCAGCGACGGAGGCAGGCGGCTCCGGCCGCGGGGTGGAGGCCGTCACACCCGAGCGGGTGGCAGCAGCGGAGGCAGACGGCTCCGGCCGCGGGGCCGGCTGGGGCGCGGCAGCTCCGGCCAGCACACCGTCCTGGCAACCAGTGAACAGTTATCGACATGGACACGATGAACGTACGACCTTCCATCCATGCAGATCTGACCGTGGCGTTCCGGAATCATGCTCGCTCCAAAGAACTGACGCAGCAAATCACGTCCGGTTGGACCTGTTTCGCCGCCAGCAGAACATGGCTAATGCATGTGTGAAATTAATCGAATCAATTATTCAATGCACAAGACGGCGGTGTTCCATCTGCGTACAGTGGTTTTCGCCACTGTACACACGGGGTAAAAAATTACTTACCTCAGGCAGCCCTTCAGCCTTCCAGTCAGGCGACATGGGAAAACGGGTTCCAACATCCCAGCCGACGGCGGTACGCATCGGCTCCGGTTCCAGGCCTCCGTGCTGAAACCGTTCACGTGAAAGCTACCGACCTGCACTGATATTGCGCAATCGCTCCGAGGACACAACATGCGCCGAGTGCGTGGTTTCCGTGGAACGGTCGACATCCGGTGCCATTTCACGGGATGAACTGGGTACTGCATATAAAGCCGATGTGCATGACTTTATACACTAAAATGCATTTATTTGACATCCACAATCCCAACTATTTTACGGCATCTGCGTCTCAAATTTTACTGGCATCTTTGGGCAACTTGACCACGAACGCTTTCAGCATTGCCTGTCTTGTACATAATCAACCCTGCTCCATATCAGATATCCTCCAAATGGTCACTAATCGGTGATTGATAACAAACGATGTCATGACATCAGGTCCGAATTTTGCTGCAGATCTTTGAGTTGCATCTGTATGCACTGGAGAGTACTCTTAGTGTAGCGTGCGCGGAAGAAGATCGCGGTGAGGCGTTCGTGTTGCAGAAGGTTTCAAATGTTACAGAATGATTCAAAATCCACGATTTTTGGGACGGTTTTTCCACGATGACCTACTTCAGATAATTTAGTGTCATTTCAGATTTTCCTGACATCATCTGACTTCCCTTTTGTCTGTTGTGGTCGTGGTCATGATGAGTTGTATATAATTAAACAGGGCTCTGGCCAAGTTATTAGCTAAGCAAAAGTGAAGATAAACTTGAGACATCATATCTTACCTGTGCGGCTGGTGATGCCGCCACAGCTAGCACCGCCCTCGCGGCGGAGGCAGACGGCTCCGGCCGCGGGGTGGAGACCGTCGCGCCCGAGCGGGTGGCAGCGACGGAGCCAGGCGGGCTCCGGCCCGCGGGGTGGAGACCGTCACACCCGAGCGGGTGGCAGCGAAGGAGCCAGGCGGCTCCGGCCGCGGGGTGGAGACCGTCGCGCCCCGAACGGGTGGCAGCGACGGAGCCAGGCGGCTCCGGCCAGCGGGGTGGAGACCGTCGCGCCCGAGCGGGTTGGCAGCGACGGAGGCAGGCGGCTCCGGCCGCGGGGTGGAGGCCGTCACACCCGAGCGGGTGGCAGCGACGGAGGCAGGCGGCTCCGGCCGCGGGGTGGAGGCCGTCACACCCGAGCGGGGGCAGCAGCGGAGGCAGGCGGCTGCGGTCGCAGGGCCGGCTGGGCGCGGCAGCTCCGGCCAGCACACCGTCCTGGCAACAAGTGCGTCGTGAACGGTTATCAACAGATCTAAGGGCTGTGAAGACCGGTGGTCCCCGGCTGCACGCAACACACCGCTCGTAATCAAACTTCCGCGACTTCCTTGTCCGCCACGCTCGAGTACTTGATTTGAGGTTTAACATATCATACTTCACCAGCTCATTTGTAAATATTTTACACTTCAAAATCCCGGGCAACAGGGAAATAATTCAAACAATGGCTACATCGAGATGGTTAACAAAATAGGTCGTTAAACTGGTCATCAGAAAGTACCCAACACGTGGCAATCTTTACTTAAGTGTTCCATCTTGCGTTATAATGATGCCTGACAACGCATAACATCTTACAGGAACCGTTGGGCCGGCATAGTACTACCGAATCCTTTTGCAAGCTGTTCACAAACTGTTACGCGTAGCGGCTCTCATGGGCTCGATTTGGCCCGGCTCGCCGCGACCGCCGCACAACACATCGCATCTCAGAGCCGAGACAGAGCTCTTATGGCATGAGCACTTACCCCATGCCGTGGCGAACACACCAACGTAGAGATGCCCAGTGCATCGGGCATGACCGCTATGGTCGGTCCAGCTCCACATCCTCGAACCCCTCATCCTCGGTGTCGTCATCCTCGGCGTCACCTTCCACGTCCTCCTCGCCTGCTGGTCCGGGTCCGTGGAGTGGTAGGCGTCTAGGCGCTTGCCGGTCTGGGCGTAAAGGTACGCCCCCCGACGAGCTCGCCTGTCGACGGTCATCACCAAGGTCAGCCGCGGCTAGCTGGCTGTTGGGTCGGCGACTAGCCGGGTCGGCACCCGCGTTTTACGGGTTCGTCGATGTCGTGACCAGAGCCTAGTTTCATAGAGCGAAATAACAAACCTGGGCACTCTGATTTGCGCTGTATAAACTGATAACCAACAACAGGCTAGCGTGGCCAGCGCGTCGCATTTTTCATCCTTTAAAGATCAAGGAATATTCTCCCATCACCACCTACATGCATACACACACGATTACGGCGCATCATGAACTGCTTGATATTCTAATTGATGTGAAACTCGATTCCGATGGCTGAGCGATTAATACTGTATGAAATCATTAATTTGACCCTTACATATGGAAGAGGCTTTACTTATTACCGCGCTTTGTGCATGTCATGAATTAAACGTTCAGCAAACTGCTAGCAAATTAGCCCTGGATTGGTTGCTATTTCAACTTTGATCACAATTTTCCCGTACAACAGTTGCTGGAACTTAAACATCGCGATGGTCTGTGCTGGTCACTTACCAGTGTACTGCAGGACTTCATCCCGCCGGGGAACAGGTCCTTCGGAACACCCGACGGTACAGGTCGGCGGCCGCAGTTCTGATGCGGCCGTCGTAGCAAGCGTAGGTGGTCGGGAGCCTGGTCCGACGCCGCCGCATACCGGTCCGCGTTCCAACGGACCAGGCCCTCCACCAGGAACGCTTGGTAGTGCAGGTCACTAGCAGTCGTCCCTGGCAAGGTCACGGACAATACAACATTAGATACTTGGGCTGTACGTAGTGTCTGCTTGCACCCACAGGGGCCAACGGTACACGATCGTTGTCACAGGCATTGCAAACTGTTTGTCACAGGCATTGCAAACTGTTTGTCACAGGCATTGCAAACTGTTTGTCACAGGCATTGCAAACTGTTTGTCACAGGCATTGCAAACTGTATGTCACAGGCATGCTCCATTCATTGTGCCAAGTGAACGCTAACAATATTACCATGGCGCAGAGTGCGATGACCGCTCCAGTCAAATGACATGTTGCGAGCTTAGCTCACTCAGCATGCAACTTCGCTCCTGGCAATAAGGGTCGTATATACCTGGGATAAAACGGGCGAGGTGGTTGTGGAAGCTCTCCGTCGAGGTCGTGCCGCGTGCTGACCGGTAGCAGCGGAGGGTCACGCCGCCTTTCACCAGCGTCCCGGTGACTCGGCAGTGGAACACCGGATACGTCCTGGAGGCAGGCGACGTGGCGCTTCTGCTGCTCCCAGATGGGCCAGATCCGGGACTGGTCCAGCAGCGGCACGCCCAGGCTGTCGACGCCTGCAGGTCCGGAGAGCAGGCGCAGTAACTCATCAATGCACCGGGTGGTGATCTCGGTGCCTCGAGTCTGGCGTCGGCAGTGAAGTTGGAACTCCCGCTTGGAGATTTCGCGGGCCAGCACCGCGTCGGTGACAATGGCCATCCCCTTGCGGGCCAGCTGTTGCCGCTTGGCGTCATAGAGCGCCGTCAGGTCCTCCGGGTCCGTCTCGAAGATGGCCGCCGACAACCGGCTCATCAGCACTCCGTACAGCTGGTGGGCGTCGGTGGTGACCCCGGCTGCCAGGCGACGCATAAAGTGCCAGGCATCCAGGCGCACTGGCACATCCTCCCAGCCGGGGAACACCCGCAGCGCCGGGCAGCTGGAGCCGGGGGACGGCGCACAGCAGTCCCGGTCCACGTAGAGCGCCAGAGGCTGGGCACCCCTGCCTGCCGGTAGCGGGCGACAATGCCGCTGCCGAGCTGGTCCAGCCCGCCGCCTTCCGTGGCCGTTAGCACGCTGTTCAGGACCAGGCCGTGCTCGTTGGTCACATTGGTGGCCCAACGTGCGGTGCCAGCGCCGATACCAGCCAGCTTCTTGGCCACCTGCAAACAAATTGAACATTTTAAGAAGAAGTACAGAAGGGTCCGTCCTACAGGCAGGCGTGGTGTTGTCTAGCAGCCTTCATTGGGCTAGAAGTCCAGAGCATAAAAGGCCTTAGCAGCTTTCAAGCCATTCAAGCGGCTATTAGGTTGATTGTCAAGGACCCGTTTAAGGGTCATGCCACAAATCGTACATGGCCAGTCAGACGACATGCGCGGTATGGAATGCGACGGTGACGCAAACATGCGGGATATCATCACGTAAATGATATCAAAGCAAAGGAAATGAAGCCAGGCGTATTTGGCAGGTGGACACGGCAGGATATCTATGTCGTCTGGACAGACTGCTAAGGTCGGTTTACATATGATTGGTGCGCGGCTAAGGTGCGCGGTTTACATATGATTTCAACGCTAGATGCAAGACAAGCGTACCTTCCGGGTGGAATCGATCTTGAGGACCTGGCCAAACACGCTGGTGATGCTGGCCAGGTACTCGTTGATGCGCGGCAGGACATCCTGCAGGTAAACCCGCATGAGCCGCGGGTGCTGGGCATCACCGGGCCGGCGGCGGCGGCGGGAACGGTCGCTGCCAGGCCTCGAATGCCGCGGATCGCATGCTGCAGTCGCTCATGTAGAGCAACATGCGGCTCAGATGGTCCTCGCTGACCTGCTCCGCCACCTGCTTCATCAGCTGGGTGGGGCTGTTGCCCAGCGTCCGCTCGCGGAGCAGCCGGACGACAGCCTTGTCGCAGGTCAGCCTGGAAAAATACGCCAAAACTTATTATTAACGTATTATCAGTTCGGTTCATTGACAGCAGACAGAGAACTACGTTGGCTTTGTACAGATATTGCCATGAGCTCCCTCTCACTTCGCTGGGAAATAAAGTGCATGCTTGCCGCCTTTAGCGCCGTCTCCAGGAACGTAATATCATCTCGTATCTAGACGGCATGATATAGATATTACTTCATGTGCCCGAGCTCTTTACCTAATATGGGATACTCGGATCCGACGTATTTCAACGCTGTACAACAGAGACGATTAACGATAAGCAGTAAAATTATATGCATGTGAGAGTGCTTGCATGCGTACGTATGCACGTGCGTTGACGTTTGAGAACATTCCTGGTACCAGTGTGCTGGTGCTTACTTATACGTCAAGACCGCTGGAAATTGCAGCTGATGCGCGACATCCAGCTGTCTGATCAGCCGTTCGTCCCAGGCCGTGTAGACCTTGATGGGCCGGCAGCTGGGGCAGGATAAAACTTCAGTTGCCAGCCAGTAGCCGGCCCGCAGGTCCAGCACCTTCCGCAGGCGCTGTGCAGGCCAGCGCCCTTAAGATGGCTCCCGCACTCGGGCAGGCCAGGAGCACTTTCCATAGTCGGTGTGGCAACCACAGGAACAGCGGATACCGAAGTAACGTCCCGGTCCGGCAGGCGCGTTGTTTGCCACCAATGGTGGGGCTGGTGGACGGCACCAGAGCTCGGTGATCTCCTTGAGCTCGGTGCGACCGCGGCCACACTTGACGGGCCGGAACAGTCCACCTATCCACTGCTGTTCCCATGGCGACAGATAGTCGGCCCAGCCATAGGGCAGGTTGGAAGTCTGACTCCTGGCCCCCGGAGACAGGGAGATCGCGGGTCCGGCACTGCTTGTACCAGCTTCCGGTGCGGACGCGCTGGCGCCACGTGCGGACGGGTCTCGCCCGGACGGGCCGGCGTCGCGGCCGGACGGGCCGGCATCGCGGCAGGACGGACCGGCGTCGCGGCTGGACGGGCCGGCGTCGCGGCCGGACGGGCCGGCGTCGCGGCTGGACGGGCCGGCGTCGCGGCTGGACGGGCCGGCTCGCGGCCGGACGGGCCGGTGTCGCGGCTGGACGGGCCGGCGCGCTGGCTGACGGGCCGGCGTCGCGGCTGGACGGGCCGGCGTCGCGGCTGGACGGGCGCGGTCGCGGCCGGACGGGCCGGCGTCGCGGCTGGACGGGCCGGCGTCGCGGCTGGACGGGCCGGCGTCGCGGCTGGACGGGCCGGCGTCGCGGCTGGACGGGCCGGCGTCGCGGCTGGACGGGCCGGCGTCGCGGCTGGACGGGCCGGCGTCGCGGCTGGACGGACCGGCGTCTCGGCTGGACGGGCCGGTGTCGCGGCTGGACGGGCCGGCGTCGCGGCTGGACGGGCCGGCGTCTCGGCCGAACGGGCCGCGTCGCGCTGGACGGGCCGGCTCTCGGCCGAACGGGCCGGCGTCGCGGATGGACGGGCCGGCGTCGCGGCTGGGAGGTCACGGACGGGCAGGTCACGGCCGGGCGCGTTACGGCCGAGCAGGTCAAGGGCCGGGCAGTCACGGCCGGACGGACCACAGTCGGGCGGGTCACGACCGGGCAGGTCGCGGCCGGGCAGGTCGCGGCCGGGCAGATCACGGCCGGACGGCTCACGGCTGGGCGGGGGCGTCATAGGCGGCTGCTCCGCTGGTGGACGCCGAGGCCTGTTGAAACAACGGAAAGGTGAACGTCTCAGAAGGCCTGTGCAAACTTCAACATGCCGCTCAATGCCACTTTACACATCGCTTGCAAGCCGATTTCAACTAATCACGACACGACACGTGCCCCAAATTGTGCGCCAGCAAATTCGCTGCTGGAATGGGACACCAACTGAAAGGTTCGTTCCGACTTGATGTGCAAAGCATATAACATGACATGACAACGCGGTAGCCATTGACAATGATCCTACCTGAGCGCGGCGCGCGGGCAGATTCGGTCGGATGTTGCTGACGCGGCGAGAGGGACGACAGCCGACCAGTCTCAGCATACTGCCGCAGACGCTGGATACCCTGCCTATCCTGGGGATCCTAAGGAAGCGTCTGTGGTGAGGAAGCATCAAGGACGCAATTTTTGCCAGGATGCGACCGTCCACCAAACATGCCAAGCACAAGCAGGCGCCAAGCCGACCATGGTGCACATCAACGTGGGGCAAATGCAGGGTAATATTGTCTGGTCTCGTCAGCAAGTCCGGCACGTGCATTGTGCACAGTTTACATCGTGACCAGGCGCGCAAGTAGCACGTTATTCCTTTCTAGGCAAATGCAGCCAGCCAAGCAAAACCAACATGGTGCTTCGGTAGACACAAACCACCATATGCTGAACCGTGCTGAGGCATGGAATCTCATGGACATTAAGTTCGTACCGTCAAAATTTCGTATATACAAGGTTCATGTAGTATTACGTTCGTCCGGTAAAAGGATAATTAGGAGAAAGATCAGAACTACTGTGTCCCGTCGTGACGAGCTCTGGCTACCCGGTATGGGACGGTTTAGCCCGGTACAACCAGGTACACCAGGTACAGCGAGTATGGCTAAGCAATACGGCCAAGTATAAAAACTTTGCCTTCAAAACCACCCTTAACCTTTGAATGTAGCATTCCACGATCTTTGCAAGTTTGTTACACCATGTCATGGCGTCAATGCCTGTAACGCGGTTCAGCACATGGCAACAACATAAGGAAAAAACAACATCGAAGTCCGTGCTTCGTGTGCCAGTCACCAAGCATGTCATTAACAGGACAGTGTTACCAATCACACCATGTGCCAGGCAGCCCATCACGTCAAATTAGCCATGTATATTGCCAGCAGAAAACCATCTCCCGCACACCCTCAAAGCAATCAAGCATCCAGGAACCAGGATTACGTATTGCAAAGCATGCACTTTTGCAGGGACACCATTGCCATGGCAGGATAACGTGGTAGGAAATGTGACGAAGGTATCGATGAAGATGCGTTTGCCTAGAAACAAAGTGGTAACATTAGTGTGGTGGTTACGCACTTCAATACCTGCTGCAAAACACTGTCATAGCTGTGACTTTTCATGGGCTAAGGTGACCGTGGCCTTTGACAAACAGTACATGACATGTCACACAACCCACACCTGCTACCTTGGAAAGCACGCAAAGGCATGGCACGTCACGCCCATTCACTCACTCCCGCTACATTGAAAATTGAAAGGATCGGGCCTACCCTCCTACCCAGAAATACGTGTTCATACCCTCCACGCAGAGACAGCTAGCTCATAAGCGTGTTTCTTAGTTCAAAGGGGCTTCCTAGTTCATAACGGGGTTACACAAGCGCATAACGGGGGTCTCCTAACTCATATCGGGGACTTCCTAGTCATAACGTTGGCCTTCTAGTTCATAACGAGAGCCTCCTTGCTCATAATATGGACATTCTACTTTATAATGGGGCCTCTTAGTTAATAACGAAGCCTCTTAATTCACAACGGAGCCTCCCATTCAGCTTCTTCTTAATGGGGCCAACTAGTTCATAACGGAGGCCTCCTGGTTGAAAATGAGGTCTCCTAGTTCAAAACGGGCCTCCTCGTTCAAAACGTGGGCCTTCTAGTTCGGGGACCTCCTAGTTCATGACGGCTGCCTGTCGCGCTAGAAAATACCTCCTCGAACCAACTTGTGAAAATTTGATGCAGAAGAGTAATCTCGACCGGATTTGGTAACATCTAGCACATCCATTTGGGTTACCCGATCGAAAGTTTGGTAATTGACGTAACTTGCAGTCTTCCTTGGGGCAAGAGGGGATTCGATTTGGAATCACAAAATTTTGGGGAGGGGCAAACATATATCCTTCTCCCTGCCTACCGACAGGCGGCAACTGCCTCCCCCCCCCCCCACCCCACCCCTACCCCAACCGCAGCACCCCAAGCCACCTCCACCCTGCGCCACCCCCGTACCAACATCTGTCAATTCTGTGTAATCTTTGATGATCATCGATGTCAGAAAAGGCAGTCAGGAAGAATAGTACAGGCACATTGCTGACATAACTTATTATGCTTACAGGTACGTTTCGTTGAAATTGTGTAAGATTACTGGTAACCACGTTAGCAAAAGATCAATTGTCTACTAAAGTGGCACCATAATACGCCCCATCTTTAACCTTATGCGGCCACACTGACAGCCCTCGGC